TTAGAGTTCCTACAAGAGGGAAACTACATCGAAGATCATGAGTGTATTTGTGGTGGTAAAGACTCCCTAAGCTTTCAGAACAATTGGCTTAGTTTGGAGTACCAATTGAAATGTCGTGGACCGATTTTTAAGCTAGGTTGGAACATGATCAGATTGTTATTTGCTTATACATTTAGATTAACTGAAAGAAAGCTGGCTACTATCCAGGGAAAGAAGGTTGAAAGAGCACAAGCACTCTTTGTGAGGCCAGTTAGAAATCCGTGGCAAGAGAGTCCCAGAGTTGTCGGTAGCCTGGGTTTACTTAAGGAGCAGCAGTGGGAAAACAGAAGTGGACAGATTGAATGCTTTTTGCAGATTGTCGGCTGAATTTGGTGATTGACAAGGATGAGCCAAAGATGAGTCCCAAGTTTCCAACTGGAATGAAAAAGAATGTCTTTTTTTTTTTTTTTTTTTTTTTAGAGGGGGGCAAGGGGTAGAGGGAGAGGAAGAGAGAGAATCTTAAGCAGGCTCCATGCCTGGTGCAGAGCCCCAGGCAGGGCTCCATCTCACAACCCTGAGATCATGACCTGAGCCAAAATCAAGACTCGGGCGCTTAACGGACTGAGCTACCCAGGCTCCCCAAGAATGTTATGTTTTTTTGGTTTTTTTTTTTACCATAGGGAATGCTGAAGGAGAAAGTTCAGGTGTAGATGGTTGGAAAGAAGTGAGATTGGTTTCACAGGTGTTGAGTTTCAGATAACCATGAAAAACCTGAATAGTTATATCAAGTACAAATCTGGGGCTCAGAAGAAATGTCTGGGGACGCCTGGGTGGCTCAGTCGGTTAAGCATCTGGCTTCAGCTCAGGCCATGATCCCAAGGTCCTGGGATCAAGTCCCGCATCGGGCTCCCTGCTCAGTGAGGACCCCGCTTTCCCTCTGCCTGACACTCCCCCTACTTGTGCTCTCTCTCTGACTAATAAATAAATAAAATCTTTAAAAAAAAAATTTAAAAAAAAAGAAGAAGAAATGTCTGGATTGGAGATACATCTAAAAGTAATTAATATATAAGAGATAATGCAAGACATGCAGTTATGGATGAAATTGCCTAGGGAGAGTGTAGAGTGAGAATAGACGAGGGGAAAGTCATGAAGAGCTCCACCATGGAAGGATCAGGTGGAGGAAGAGGATCCAAAGAAAACTAATAGAAAGCTTCTAAAGTGGTAGAGGAAAAGCAAACAAATGTGCAACATTGCAAAAGCCAAAGAGTATTTCAAGATGCAGGGAGTAGTCAAATGCATCAGATACAGCTAAGAGCTCAAGGAAGATTAATAATAGTAACAATGTTCAGTTCTTGAGCAAGGCTTTAAGATGTATTTAATCCTTCTGACAACCCTTTGAGGAAGGCAATATTATAATCCCCATTTCAGAGAAAACTGAGGTGCAGAGTGTTAAGTAATCTGCCCTGATTCCTGTAAGTATCCTCTCAGCAAAGCCTATTACTCAGGGGTCCTTTGAATTCTCTCCAGGGCAGTTTGCAGGGGCTGGTTAGGATAGAACACCTATCAGAATGGGTTGGAAGGTGAAAGGGAAGGGAGAAGACAGAGTAAAGATGTTTGGCTTTTAAGGGAAAGAGATGGGGTGGTAGAGGCTTGAAGAGCTCAAAAGTACCTTTAATGGGTGGCTCTCTGCCTGGTTTGCAAGAACATGGCTAATCTGGCTCTGCCCCATCTCTTCCAAATTTTAAACCAAACAATTACATCATTCTCATGTCATGCTTCCAGGTCCTCAGGCTCATGACACCCCTCAGCCCACCCTCAGCCAATTCTTCTTCCTTCTATTTCAAGTCCACTCATTCACCAAAATTCAGCTCAAACCTTACTTCCCGAGGAAGTCTTCTCAGTCTCATCTTCCCTTGCTGACTTTTTATCAAAGGTCACTTTTTGTATTTCTCTAAAAAAAAAAAAACCCTCAAATTCCTGGCACAATGCCAAACACACAACAGGAGGCTATTAGCCAGTAATTATTTTACCTGAAACACTTGGCTCACTTGCTCAGAACCATTTTACTCACCATCCTGCTTTCCTGGTGGTTTTCTCTTTTCTCCAAGTTCTGATCTGAATTTTATAGAACTGACAGCCTTCCTGGGTAAGGGGAAAGCGGGGCTTGGAAGGGAAGTGCTCTGTAAGGAAGTTGAAGCAAATGAGTCTCCCTTTGAAATGAGATTTTTCTAGAGAGGGGTGCCTGGGTAGCTCAGTCAGTTAAGCATCTGCCCTCAGCTCAGGTCATGATCTCAGGGTCCTGGGATCGGGCCCCGCGTCGGGCTCCCTGCTCAGGGGTGAGCCTGCTTCTTCCTCTTCCTTCCACTTGTTCTCTCTCTCAAATAAATAAATAAAATCTTTAAAAATTAAAAAAAAAAGAAATGAGATTTTCTAGAGAGAGAGTTGGTGATAAAGAGAGATCTCAGCAGTTTAAGGGAGGCAAGAGATCAGTGGAAAGGTTTGATCATATTATTTGTCCGTTTTATCATGATTATTAGTGTGGGAAGTCCCTGAGTATGTTTGTCATAAAAAAAATGAAGGGCTAGTGAACCTAGCAGTAAGGCTTGATGAAGGTAGTTATTAGCAGGGTAGAGGGACAGATCGGGAGCCCTAGAGCTTTGGAAAGGAAGAAGTCCATCCATTAGGTTGAGGAAATTAACACAAAATAGCTTCCATCTTCTCAGTAAAGGAGGCAGGAGGAAGATAAGCTCCATGGTCACTCCTAAGAGGTTTTGACTGCTCTGTTTACTGTTATATCCCTCAGAACAGGAAGACACATAGTAGGTGCTCAATAAATACTTGTTGAATGGGGATATTATTGAAAGTGTTTGAAAGAAGATTGGAAGACCTCCAAGTATAGACTCTCTAGGTAAGGTGAATAGTTGTTCTGTAGCCTGATCAGCAATAGAACAGGCTTTCCTTGGGGGCATTTACATTCCTTCCATATCCACAAACACTATTTTCAATAAAGGGAACGTAGGTCTTTTTGCCAAATTATACCCTCATACCCTGGCAGCCCGCATGTGATCATTTCCATAGCTTTAATAAACCCCAATCGCCACCTGGTGGGAGGGCAGGGATTCACATGTGGCACCTGGAATGAGTTTTCCTTCAGGGGGCAGTACCTGTAATGAACTTTGGTCCTGAACTTCTAGAAAGTTGGCAACCATTGAGAACAAGATACGATTGTCCTGAACTCTCTTTCTGTTCAGCTTTGTCCCCAGTGGGAGGTTAAGGCTCTACTCTTCCATTTCTTCTTTTTTTTTTTTTTTTAAAGATTTTATTTATTTATTTGAGAGAGAGAGAATGAGAGACAGAGCATGAGAGGGAGGAGGGTCAGAGGGAGAAGCAGACTCCCTGCCGATCAGGGAGCCCGATGCGGGACCCGATCCCGGGACTCCAGGATCATGACCTGAGCCAAAGGCAGTCGCTTAACCAACTGAGCCACCCAGGCGCCCCTTTCCATTTCTTCTTAAAAAACAGTCAGGCCAGATTAAGGGTGACACTGACAAGGCCATGGGAGCAGTATCCTCCTGGTGGTGGCCATGATGCTCTGTACCTTGTAAAGCTCTATACCCATCCTATCCATCACTTGCCATCAGGATGACCCAGAAGAGGTAGACTGTAAGCGACTGACTGGCTGAGAATGTATTCATTGAATAAGCCTTTCAAGATCTTCATGAACTAGGCAAATGGATTCAAAAGTTTCAAGAGTACTACTTAATTCGAATAATTACAAATTATGCTGTATTGCTGGTACTCTGGTTCAACTGGAACCTTTGTAACAATGATACTGTAGATATTTTCATTTTAGGCACGCTACACTCATTGCTGTGTGGACTTTAAAAAAAAAAAAAAAAAGGACAATTCAAGATAGCTTACTTTTTTCCCAAGCCCTAGGGAGAGGGGTTAATTATGAGCCATTTGGTTGAAGTCAGTGTTATAAAATAATGCGTTTCAACAGCACCTGTTACTGAGTCCTATAGATTATTATAACTTTTTAAAGAGCTATTATTATTTTGACTAAGCACAAAGCATCAAATTTTTCTGTTTTAATATTTTTAATTAAAACATACATTCAGAAAGGTGCATGAGTCTTCAGTGAATTGTCACAACACAGACACACCTGTGCAACCACCAGCCAGGTGACTAGAACATTACCAGCATCCTTGAAGGCCTTCCCCGAGCTCCTCCAGATCCCTGACCTCTCTTCACCAGGGGTAGGCCCTATCATGACTTCTAACACCGTAGCTGTTTTGCCTGGGTCTTTTGTGTGCATATGTGTTATGTCACCTTTTTGCCTGGTTTCTTTCGCTCAATATTATGTGTTCAGCCATGTTGCTCAGAGAAGCTGTGGTTCATTAGTTTTTGTTGCTGTGTAGTATTCCATCGTCTGAAGAGCCAACAATCTGTTTACAAATTCAACACTGGTAGAGATTTGGTTTTTTTCCAGCCTGAAGCTATTACCAAAAATGCTCCTATGAGCATTCTTGTCTGCATTCTTTGGTGTACATATACACACCTTTCCACTAAGCATATACTAAGGCATAAGATGCTCAGTCATTGAGCATGCACGTGTTCAACCTGGGCAGATAATGCCAAACACGTTTTCTTTTCTTTTTTTAAGATTTTATTTATTTATTTGTCAGAGAGAGAGAGAGACAGCACAAGCAGGGGGAGCGGCAGAGGGAGAAGCAGGCTCCCTGCTGAGCAAGGAGCCCGATGCGGGGCTCGATCCCAGGACCCTGGGATCATGACCTGAGCCGAAGGCAGATGCTTAACCAACTGAGCCAGCCAGGCGCCCCTCAAACACGTTTTCTAAAATGGTCATACTGATGCTCCCACTACCAGAGCGTTAGGTCTGGTTGCTCCACATCCTCCCCATACCTAGTATTATCTTTTTAACTTTAGCCATTTTGGCAAGTGTGTGTGTAAATATATATATATTTTTTATAGTTGTGTATATATGGTTGTTATGTGTATAGAGCTGTATTTCACTGTGGTATTAGAGTACTGTATTTTAATAAACAATTAATTGTGTTTCCTTTTATAGCAGAACAGGGAGAACCATGTACGATTTCATAAGGGTCATTAAAATGTTTTTGGTAATGAGTGCACATCATCCTGTTTCCTTTTAGGCCCATCTCAATGATCAGTCCACGTCCCAACCAATACAAAAACAATAATACTGACATGTGACACGTCCATCTGACCCATCTAGCAAACAAAAGGATTCATCTAATATGTCCTTGAAACAAAACAAGGTAGAGAAATAGTCAATGACTATAAACAATAACAGAAAAACAACCAAATTTTTAAAAACAAAGTATAAGTGGTAGAATAACTGACTGTTACAGTTAGATTCATCTAATTCAACCAACTCAAAGCCAAGAGAGGTTAAATGATTAAGGCCCAGTTCTGTTGCAGACAGAGCCAGAAGTAGAATTCAAGTCCATATACCCTTAGCCTTTTATAGGATACACAGAATTTTAGTCGATGGACTGACTTTCTGAAATCTGAAATTTCTTTAAATTTAATTTCCCAAAGTTCAGATTAACTTCATCAGTGCACTAAGTTAACCATGAAAAAGACCCCTATGTCCTGTTCGTTTTTTTAAGATTTTATTTATTTATTTGAGAGAGAGAGAGGGTGCACACATGTGGAAGAATACAGGTGGTGAGGGGAAGGGGCGGGGAGAGAGGGAGAAGCAGACTCCCAGTCCCAGGACTCTGCGATCATGACCTGAGCCGAAGGCAGACACCTGACCGACTGAGCCACCCGGGCGCTCCCCACTATGTCTTGTTAAAGAACAAAGTTCAGCTGAGTAAATTGAAAGAGCTAATTGGCTTTATTTAAGACTCAGGAGTCAGCAGCATCCCATCTAACAAATAGGAGGCTGTTCCAAGGAGTTGTATAAAATGGAAGGCTTTGATAGGCAGAATGGGGTGGGACAAGGAAGTTAACTAGCAGAAGAAAAGAAAGGATGGTTTCGGGAAAGGGCAGGGGGTCTTGTGCAGATTACCTCACTGGGGCCGATCTGGAAATTCCAGCATGATGAGTTTAAAACCCAGCGAGGCTGAAACTGCAGTTAGGTTAGACATGAAGTCTTGGTGACTCCATTTGGGGCCTGTTGTTTCTTTTTAACAGTCCCCCCTCTTTTGATCCAACTCTCAGCCTAACTGAGAGATGTGATCGAAATTCAAGGCATTAGCACCACTCTCAGCTACGGCTCTAGTTCTCGAAGCTTTCATTCATCCTGGGTTTTGCTGACTCTCTGTGGCACTCATGAGTCATGACTTCAGGCTCACAGTTTTTTAGTTGGTCATTCTCTTTGCTCCTTTTCTGTCATTCCAGCCTCAGGGAGATCATTGGCTTGGTGGTTGGTGGCGGCAAACATGCATTTAAAGCCCTTAGGAGAATACAGCACACCAGGGAGGTTCCTGTAACTATAAGCAGGATAATTCCCAACATTTGGAGTGCACTTCAGGGCCATGGTCCCCAAGACTGAACCAAAGAATGACCCCATTGAAGAAGTCACCCTTTTAAGCCAAGTGGCGTTCTCGGAACTCTTACATAACTGAGTTGCATCTTCCGCAGAAGTGTTAGTTCAGGTACAGCAGGTTCTGTTGGCCCAGCTCAGACACCTCCTTACTCCGAACGCTTTGGCCAGAGACTCTAAGGATCTTTGCTGGGCAGCTAGTGTCTTAACAACAGACTCTGCAGGGGCTCCGAGAGTTCAGGAGAAGTTTCTAATCATATTCTCATTTGTATTTACTCCTAAACCCGGGGTCAGTCAGGGTTTTAGCATATATAGGAAGGGAATCTCCAAACCTGAAATAAAAAGTCATCTTAAGTGCCTTATAAAGATGGGTGCTGCTGGTGAGCTCTCTCAGCGAGTGGGGACGGATCTGGTCTAGATAATCATGGGAACAGAAGGATCCAAATGCGCTAAGATTCACATAGGTAAATGTGTCTAACTGGGTACATACTTCTAAGTGGGGGATGGGGCAGGGGGAGGGGAGGATTGACATTGAGATTCAAAGAGAAATTGGTCCCGGGTAGGATCTCTTGCATCGTAACAAATCTAGTGATCTGAGAGTTAACCAATCCCCTCTCAAACTTAGCAATGGCCTGAGGGATACAATGAGGGCATTATCTCTCCAGGCCAATGCCAGAGTAAAGAAAAGAAAAAGGAGAAAGGGTTTCATGTTTAGTTTAAGTATGAGGTCTTGATCCAGCATCTTGGGTGAAGGCAGTCTACTTCGATGTCAGCCACTTCTCTTCCTTGTCAATTCAGTTTGTAGGTCTGTATCATCTGCCTAGGGCCTGATATCAGGTGGAGCCTTCTTTATCAGTGAGACATGTACCCAAGGCTCAGTGTGTTCTAGTTTTGCAGTAGATTGTGTTCGGGAGCACTTGGGAAGCTCCCTTCCCATGAGGCACAGTGAGGCTGTCCTCCTCTGATGACACTTCCAGAAGACCCGGTTACCAGGCTCTAGACTGTGACCAACAGGATCCCTTGAAATGGGATTCATCAAAGCTTCTTTAATCTGCTGATGATATGCTTAAACAGAAGACATAAGCATAAGACTTACTGTAGCTGGACATCCTAGCATGAAAGTTGTGTATCTTCAGCAGAAGGTTATATACTGATAGACATTGATCTACCAGCGACTGTCTTGTATAGAGTGACTTTCCCAAAGGAAGTACTATGAACAGTCAGCAAGACCAAAGACAATACTGTGGGCCATGGAAATCCAGTGGTGTCTGCAAGTTTAGACATTTTAAGTTTAAAGGATCTCTCTAGTTCTCTCAACCTTACCTGATGATTAAAGGGTGATAGGGACAGTGGTAATCCCAAGAGGTTTGCAAGGTGTTTGTTAAGGCTTATATGATTTGCCCAGTGAGGTGGGTACCTTGATCACTGGAGATTATAGAAGGTATACCCCAAGTGGGAAACACATTTTCCAACACTTTCTTGGCCACTGTGAGGACATCAGCCTTGCGACAGGGGAGGTCTTCAGCGCACCTGGAAAACACATATGATAACAAGAACATATTGATAACCTGGACCAAGTGGTAGCTGAATGAAGTCCAGCTGCAGGCATTCAGAGGGTCCAGAGGGAGGAGATCTGAGGCTTCTCAGGACAAAAATAGTTTGCCAGGATTGGGGCCGTGGCAGGTCAGACATGGCTGGTAGACTGTTTTTGCAATTTTATAGAAGAGTCCCTACCAATATCTACTTATAATTTAGGTCATCTTAAATGTCCTAAGGTGGGGGAAGGAATACGGAAACCGAAAAGTGGAGTTAGGTTTAGTTCCAGCTGTTTGTTTCATTTATAGCCATTGTTCACCCATCTTAATTTCTCTGATTCAGGAGCAGACCATTGCCGTGTTACCAGGACATCAGAATGGCAAACATTTGGCAATGAAGAGCCATTTTGTGCAGAAGCAGAATGGACTTGGTCCACACGTGCTTCAATCGCGTGCTTCTGCCTGTGCACGAGAGTCAGCCGAGACATCTCCTGGTACTCCGTGCTTTCAGGCTGAGCCTTAATTTTGATGACAGCAATTTCAGAAGTTAAAAGAATAGCAGAATGGCAGTAAGAAGATCATTTACTTTTTGCCCATTTTTGATTGAGGTCTCAGAGGATGCAAGAAAACCTCACTGGTCTCCATAACATTCTAAAATCACAGATGACTCCAGGGGCGCCTGGGTGGCTCAGTTGGATAAGTGTCTGCCCTCAGCTCAGGTCACAATCCCAGGGTACTGGGATCGAGCTCCACGTCGGGCTCCGTTGTCAGTGGGGAGTCTGCTTCTCGCTCTTCCTCTCCTTCTGCCCCTCTTCCCCTGCTCATGTTCTCTCTCTGTCTCAAATAAAATCTTTAAAAAAAAAATTCAACTTAAAAAAATAAAATAATAAAATAAAATCAAAGATGACTCCAAAGGCATCCCAGCTATTCATATCGATATTAACAGTATGTGTTTCTGATAATTGGCACGCTCAGGTAAAGCATGGAGCTCTGCTGGTTGGGTGGATTTAGCTTGTGAGAGGTTTCCCTTTCCCAGCAGGTCATACTGAGTAATAACAGCAACAACCAGCCTGAAAATTTCCTTTTTCACCTCTACGGTATGACCTGTCAACAAACCAGAGTAGATAATGATTCGTTAAAGGGATATCTCCTAAGTCAGGATGAGTTGTCACGAAATGGAACTCCCTACCTCAGCTAGGAGGCTCACCTTCATCAGGTAGAGGTAGTAAGAGAGCCAAATCAAGGGTGTTGCAACATTGAAGATGTAGATTAGATGGTGAAAGCAGGATCTCAGGAAGTTAGTCTATTTGCAGAGAAATGTGGAGTCAGTTCGGAGTGAAGATGACTTGGGACAAAGTGTGAAGTTTCCAAATAAACGCCGTTTCCTAGGGTCAGATCTGCAGATGCTTGGGCTCACTCCACAGCTGCGGCTCTCGCATGAAGACAGCTGGGCTAGGCACGAGCCACTGAATCACACTGCATGCTCTCATTGGCGCGTCTAGTACCATGTTCGTGCATGAGCATTCCCAGGGCTTGATTATCCCCGCCCTGCACAAATAAGGTGAAGGGTTTTAAATAGATGGCCCTGAGGCAGGTGGTTCTTCCAGCGCCTGTTTTCGTCTTATAAAAATCTGCTCATGTTTGTCTTTCCAAGCAAAGGTTTCGGGCACTGAGATTTTAGTTAAGTTTACAGAGTGGAGAAGTTAACAGAGAAAAATTAGGATCCCGTAGTCTGCAATAAATCCACAAAGCCGTCCCTCACTTGTAGGTCTCAGAAATTCCTGAATTAGCTTAATTCTTTTTGGAGACGGCTGAACTGCTTCCGAGCTTCGCTCATGACTTAGGTACTGAACAATGTCTAGAGATATTGTAGTTTTGCCTTAGAGACTTGGTGTCCCTTTTCAGCTAATTGTTACAGCAAATAGAGGACTCCTCTTTTGTGACTAAGCACAGCAAAAGGTCATCTACATATTACAAAAGTTTCGGTTTCCCAGGGACCTGGAGGGTACTTAAACCCCAGTGATGTTACTTGAGAGAAATAAGAGGGGGCCTTGGTGACCCGAGGCATAATTATCTAGGGACAGTGTCAATCGCTTCGGGTAAAGGCAAATAGATATTGGCTGATGATGTCTCCGCCAAACAGAGGTGCATAGCAGTGCCCTGGGCTTCAGGTGGAACTTGTGACATAAGGGTGTTTGGGTTTGGAATGACTGGGAAACCGGAATAACCATCTTATTCATAGCTCTCAAATCTGGAACAAATTGCCCTCCCTGCCCATCAGGTTTCAGGATTGACAAAATCGATAGGAACTAGTGCTGGGAATGATTAGCCCCCTGGGCGGTAAGGTCTTCTACTATGTACGGGTATGAGGCCTTGTATGGCCTCAGGCTTGAAGGGACATTGAGGTAATGTAGGGAGAGGGTTACTTTTATCTGTCTGAATCTTTATGGGTTCTGTACTTCTTATTTGTCCAATGTAAATATTAGAAGCCCATGGATTTTTGTGCTCCTCCATTAAATTTGGGGACTTTTGTTGGAATTCTTCCTCTTCTGTGTCAAGGACAGACTCTAAGGAACATAAAAGATCAGGTTCAGGTTGGTCAGGAAATTCTCAGGTGAAGTCTCCATTGGAGGCAAAATGAATTAGCCCTTTTAATTCAGAAAGGAGATCCCTACCTAATTGTCTGGAACTGACTGACACAACAAAAAGGAGTGTTTTTCAGTAAAAGGCCTGAGTCATTTGTACTGGTAGAGATAAAAATTCTCTCTGAACTTTATCAGACACCCTCTACCCCCAACGATGGAAACCTCCTTTTTACTTTGAGGGATTTGTCATCTTGAGGGTGGGGTTTAAGGTAGAAAGTGTAACTCCGGTATCTATTAAAATGTGCCAAGGTTGCCCATTAATTTTAACTTTAGTTTTTCCCTTGGCTATTTAAGGGAGTTTCTGGTAATAGTCTAGCAGAGAAGCCCTCAGAGTCCCTTCAGCTGTGTGAGGGGCTCTCCTTTGCAGGCAAGTTATGAGGGCATTTAAGAAGAATTTGCCTGGGGACCGCCCGGGTGGCTCAGTCGTTAAGCCTCTGCCTTCGGCTCAGGTCATGATCCCAGGGTCCTGGGTTCGAGCCCCGCATCGAGCTCCCGGCTTGGCGGGAAGCCTGCTTCTCCCTCTCCCACTCCCACTGCTTATGTTCCCTCTCTCGCTGTGTCTCTCTCTGTCAGATAAATAAAATCTTTAAAAAAAAAAAGAAAAAGAATTTGCCTGGGCGCTTCGGTGGCTTAGTCGATTGAGCATCTATCTGCCTTTGGCTCAGGTCATGGTCTCGGGGTCCTGGGATGGAGTCCCGAGTCAGGCTCTCTGCTCAGCAGGGAGTCTGCTTCTCCCTCTCACTCTCCCTCTCTGCTTGCCCTCTCTCTCTTTCAAATAAATGAATAAAATCTTTAAAATAAAATTTAAAAAAAAGAAGAATTTGCCCAGGACAATCTCTTTTCCAGTGCCCCAGTTGATGAGAGCTACGACCTTGATCTTTGGACCAGCGTTTTGCTAATGGACCCCTAGGAGGGTGCAGGGCTGGAGGCCCAGGTGTTGCTTTGGGTCTCTGCCCTTGGAGCTGTAAAGCTAATAGCTTGGCAGATTTTTGTTTGCAATCTTGCTCCAGGGTCCTTTCAAAATGCTCAGCTATAGTCACGAGTTCAGTCAGACTAGTGGCCTCCCATCCTATTTTCTGCCTTTTTATTGATCCACTAATCTCGGGAGATAATCCATGTACAAAGAGGGCAGCCAGAGCAGGCTGGATGACCTTATTTATTGCGTGGAACCCCAAATGCCATAGAGAAAGGACTACACACAGGCTTTAAAGTCTGCTAGAGAGTCATCTTTTTTTTGTTTGCGAGTTTGTATAATAGAGCAATAAGGACAGGCCGGGAAGACTCTAGGAGTGGCTTATATGAAAGTTTGGCTGCTATTTTGTGAGCTTTTGCTGGTTCCTGAGATGTTGAAGGCCAAGGATCTCGAATATCACCTTTGGGGGTTTGCCATCTTGCTTCCTGCATCCAGTTTTGGGCTTCACCAGGTCATACCAACATCTCTACAAGCTGATAGAGAACAGGTAGCCTAGGGTCACAGACCCTGATAATGACTCTAAGTTCTTCAAAAAATGTTTGGGTTCCTCCCTAGTTGTAGGGCATTCTTTAACTGTGGCCCTTAGTTCTGTCTTTGGCCAAGGTGTAAAGGGTACCTGAGGAGGTTCACCTGCAACCTCAAAGTTTTATTTTAAAAGGAAACTGTCTCATGGTCTCTTCAGAATGGAAGGGCAGTTCAGACAGACCATTAGTGAAATGTGGGTACTCAAGTAAAAAAAGACAAAGGACGGGGGTAGGGGGGAGCGGTAGGGGTCACATCCGTCTTACTATTTTTTTGTTTAAGGTACTTCTTATGTCTTTAATTTTTTAGTAGCCTTTGTAACAAGTCTTTTAATGAAGCTATATTGGAATCTTAAAGGCTTTTGAAAGTTTCTGCCCACCAATAAAAGTAGGCATCCCATTCTGTGTGTTCAACTTTGGATCCATTGCTCTCAAGAATAATCTTGCCTAATCGGAATATTCCCCATAATGACCATTGTAATTCTAGGTTATTTTCAGTAAATATTTGCCATTTTGCTAGATATGTGAAGCTTCCTGAACTATAGTTCTTTTTTATTTTTTAAGATTTTATTTATTTATTTGAGAGAGTGCGAACATGAGAAGGGGGAGGGGCAGAGGGAGAGGGAGAGGCAGACTCCCCGCTGAGCAGGGCCCGGATGCGGGACCCAATCCCAGGAGTCTGGGATCATGACCCCAGCGGAAGGCAGACACTTAACCAACTGAGCCATCCGGGCACCCCGGACTATAGTTCTTAAACATAAAATTAGCAGGAGTGCCGGGAGGTGGTGTGCTCAACTCTTTGGATATAAAGGATCCCATTTCTTAATTTAGCTAGGTCTTTGGACTTCCTGGAGCCAAACCAATACCGAAGAGGGCCTATCATGGGAGTCTTCTTGAGGTGGTGCATGCTCTAACACCCTTTAAGCACTCCATTTGTGCCCACCAACTTTTTTGACTTCTGAGATTCCCATTAGCAACTCGCCCTTCTGTAATATTCACCTGTAATATTCCAATTCCACTGGACCCCGTCTAGCCCAAACTGGACCCAGTCTGACCCTGGACCCAGTCCAACTTTGGTCAGTAACCACCAACACTGTATGGAATCTGGGGACTGGGGAAAGATTTGAACCAGCAGACCCCAAAGAACTGCAGACTTATTCCAGACAGCTGCCACCAGCAGTTCTCAGTGTGGGATCTGGGGATGGAACCAAGGGCTGGGGTTTCCAATCAAACAGGGAAGTGTGGAATGTCAGATCAGGAGCTCAAAGCAAAGAGAAAGGAGCTCAGAACTGAGAACTTACCAAGAGCCCTTGGGAACAGGATGAGAACGCGAAGGGTTCATGTGTGCCACGCCTCATGTGTTCCTCGTTCCCAAAGCTGCCAGAAGTTCTCTTCAATTCACCACTGCCACCAAATCTGTTAAAGAACAAAAATTCAACTGAGTAAATTAAATCATCCCACTGGATTTATTCAATGTTTCACAAACCGGGGCAGCATCCCATAGAAGGATGTTCCAAGGGACTATAGAAAATGGAGCACTTGGATATGCACAACTAGGGCAGGACAAGAGAGTTATTTGAAAAAGAAACAAAAAAATAAAGGATTGTTTCAGGCAAGGTGACCTTCCCTCAGGGGGAAGAGCAGGGGGTTCCTAAGCAGATTACCTCACTAGTGCTGATCAGGAAATTCCAGACTGAGGAGTTTAAAATTCCACTCATTGGAGAGGCCAAAACTGCAGTAAGTATTAAGGTATTAAGTCCTTTGGGCTTAACATAAGTGACTCCATTTTGAACCTATTGTTTCTTTTGAACAGTCCATATTCTGTAATTATATAGCCATGCTCTCTCTCTCTGATTAATTAGAAGACAACTTGACACTGAAATCTAATCCCAGCAGAATGTGTTATCTGGCTATCACTCTTCAGAAAGACAAAAGCAGTCTGTGTAAATTCCCACTACCTTCTTTTCCTGAATGTCAAGCGTTCGAGTTTTCATAAAGCAATCCACATAAGTACTCAGCTCTGTTTTCCTCTGAGGATTCAAGAAGGGGGGCTGGCTCCATAATGTGATAGCTTTTTTGTAGGAAGATGTCACCATTGACCCATAATCAATAGAGCGTAAACTTTGAGTTCTGACTCTGCACTGATCCATATGCATCCATCCAGAGCTTCTGGACAAATGGAACCCAACTGCAAACTTCTAGCCCCTGGCTAGGGGCCAGAATATAGCTAACTTATCCCTGTAAGGTTTATGGCTTGAGTCTCTGCTAATGGCATCAGCAAACTGGCTTTAGACTCTAAGTTTTACTCATCTTGATCTGGGAAATAAAAGTTCTTTCTGTTTCATTATGGCATAGTTTACAGTGCACTATTCCCTAAATCAAAAGCCCCAAAATGGTGGCCCACGGACATGTTTAGTTTAATTATCCACTATGTTTAAAATCCATTCGAATTAATGCCAACATTTGAAACCTAGTGAGTTCACATCCAAATTCAGGTTGTTGGCTTCTCTTGAAATTCAAAAGCTCTCGCCATTCAGGGTCCACATTCCTGGCCCCAGCCAGAAGAGACTGAACTGAGTAACCTGCTTCAGTGGAGACCTGTCTCCCTCACTCACCAGTCTCCTATCCTGGCCTCTTCACTCCTTTATGCTACCTTCCTGGCCCCCACAGGCATTGGAGTTTATGACCCCTGCCCTAATCAAATGGCCTCAAGCCCAGGTTTCTGCCTGGAGGCAGCAATTCCAGACACGGCAACAACTGGAAGAATCTCCACATCTGGTTCCCTGCCCGATTGCTCAACTGTGGCCCCCACCACACCCTTTCCGTTGGCCGGATACTGGAACAATACAGAGCTTCGCTGGCATATACTGGGGATTTCCTTCATTCAGAGAGATCTGGGATTTGTGTTGTGCTCTAGGACCCTGATTCCCATTCTCTATTCCCAAGTTCATGGGCAGAAAAATGCTGAGTGATGGGCTCTGACTTTCTCTCATCTGCAAAAAAGATTCAATCGACAGATAGGCAAGTTTGTTTCTTCTTTCAAACATCTGTATTTTTTCCTCCTGTATGTCAGTGCATTCGACAGTGCTATTTAAAACTCCATAAATAAAGGCAAACGAAATTACAAAAATGGATCATCGTTTTTATGGAAAACCAACTAAATAAATGTTTGGCTTAAAATGTCAGGCATTAGAGGACTTTAATAAAATACTGAAAGTGAGTTCCCTAGAGGAGATGAGCAATTCACAAATAGAACGTATGAGAACAGTGCTAATTGAGACTTAAAATACAAATGGCACTCCATGTCCTAATGGAATGGGAACCATATTACCTGATCAGATGACACAAATCATGCAGTGGGAGTCTCTGGGGCCCAGTGAACCGCAGCTGTGTGGGATCTGAGGCTGTGGATGTGAACAGCAGTGGTTCGTGGGAATCCACAGGAGAAATTAGTTCAATGCCATGTTGAACCACACGGTACAGGATTTAGGGTTGTAAAAGTTTCCCAGGATTCTAATAACAAGGAGTTGTCAGAACCTCGGTCGTCTCAACCACGGTATAGCACTGCAGGGAGGCTCTCAGTGTATATAGTGTTACTCTCGTCTGCTGGGCTCCTCTTGAAGGACCTAGGTGTTTGTTTGTTTGTTTTTTAAAGATGTTATTATTTATTTGACAGAGAGAGAGAGAGCAGGGGGAGCGGCAGGCAGAGGGAGAGGGACAAGCAGACTCCCCGCTGAGCAGGGAGCCCCACGTGGGGCTCAATCCCAGGACCCTGAGATCATGACCTGAGCCCAAAGTGGACGCCTAACCAACTGAGCCACCCAGGTGCCCCTTGAAGGACCTAGTTTACCCACCCGCCCTTCTCTTGAATTGTCATTGGTTAATCTCATGCTCTTATTTTGGAGTAACTGCTTAGATATGTAACCCACCTGATGCTTTGTCCCTGAGCTCTGATGAGGTGGTCCCAAAAGGCTATCAATTCCATAGCTGCTTGAGAAACCTCTGGAGGGAGTTTCTGAGGCATGCAGATTCCAGGGCTTATTCCCAAAGACTTGACCCCATAGGTCTTGGTAGGAATCCAGGAATTTATGTATTAACCAATGTTCCAGGGGATTCTGATGAATGTATGGCCCATGGCTATACCTTAGGAAATTTGCTATCTCAGAAGGCTGATGCCAACATTTCACAATTCCATCTCCAGCAACAACTTAAAAACTTACATTTGATGAAATGTAAAACATATAAACGTCCTGGATTCATAATGATATGAGACCTCCCTGTCATTGTTAGAGGTTGTATTACTCTGCAATTTGAAAAATAAAGGAAAAGAAAAAGAATTTATCCTGCCTTTCCTGTATGAACTGTTTTGGGGATAACCAAATCGTGTTTGAGGGGAAGTTGTTCTTTTTTTTTTTTTTTTAAGATTTTATTAATTTATTTGAAAGAGAGAGAGAGCGTACAGGCAAGGGGAGAAGGAGAGGGTGAAGCAGACTCCCCTCTGAGCAGAGAGCCTGACATGGGGCTTGATCCCAGGACCCTGGGATCATGACCTGAGCCACAGGCAGATGCTTAACTGACTGAGCCACCCAGGCGCCCCCAGGGAAAGTTGTTCTTTATAGAAGTCCAGCTAATAAATGCAAAAGAAATGATTTTTAAAGAATTTCTAATTACTATTTTTAGCTATTAATGGTATAAAGAATATAAGGAATGAACATAAGTGGAAGCTGAAGACATTTAGTAAAGGATGATGGCTAACTTTGTAATGGCAGGCTCACATGGACACCACCTGGACCCACTAAGGAAGCCTAGAAAAATGGCACAGTCGTGCCATTATGTGCCTCATGATGTGATGCACTAGGAAGTATGAAGTTTTCTCGTTCATTCAATTCAAATCTCATCAAGCCCATTTATAGAAAATAAAGAACCAAGTTAAATGACACCAAAGGGAAGCAAGAAGACAAATCCAGAATGTAGGTCATTTACCAGGACAAATGACCCAATTTCTATAACAAATCAGTGGTCAGGTGAGTAAGAGGATTGTTCTAGAATAAAGAGACTTAAAGACATAACCATCACGTTTGGATTCTGAATAGAAGGAGCTAACCGTAGGGCTCCTGGGTGACTCAGTTAGTTAAGCGACCAACTCTTGATTTTGGCTTAGGTCATGATCTCAGGGTCATGAGATCGAGCCCCCTTGGAGTCAAGCTCCGTGCTGGGTGTGAACAGCTTAAGATTCTCTCTCTCCCTCTCCCTCTGCTCCTCCTACCACACCCCTCTCTCCCTCTCTTAAAAAGAAAAAAAAAGCTAACCATAAAAAGACTGCTCTGAGACAATCAGGGAAATCTGAGTATGGACCTGGTATTAGATGAGAAAGAAGAATATTGCTAGGTGTGGTACTGGCATAGTTATGTTAAAAAATGTTTTTATTGATTAGAAATGCATACTGAAATTTTTACAAGTGAAATGACACAATGTCTGGAATTTCCCTGAAAATGCTTGAGCAAAACTAAATCCACTTAGGTGGATGAAAGGAGATTGGCAAAAAATGGCTAATTGCTGAAGCTTGATGTTGGGTATGTGGAGCTTTACAATATTCTTCTCCCTATTTGGGGGCATGCTTGAAATTTTCCACAATAAGAGTTTTAAAAAAAATACCTTTTGCTGTAGGCACTCACTCCTTAGGCTAAGAAGTCAAGAAGCTGAGGTTATTATTACTTGGCAATTAACATTCCTTTTGAACGATAACTCCCTTAGAAACAGCCCTGGAAGGGCATTTGAAAGTCCAAACTCAGTTTTCATCTCCAGAAATCCATTTTTTTCTGCTCATGCCCCAAAAAAGCAGCGGTGGTTTTTCCTCAGCCACATTACCCTCTTCTATAATAGCTTAATGAGACACACAGGGTAAATGGAACTCCATTTGCTGCTTTGGCTGCTTGAGAACCATTAAAAGACCCTTAAAAGCATCACTCATGTATTAAGTGAAAGAAAACTCATCATTAAATTAAGGGAAAACAACTCTTCCCACTCAGGAGTTTTGGGTGTTGTATTTTACAACTAGATAATGAAAAGTGTTGAAGCAAAATGGTTGTGCTTTGTGGTAGCAGAGGGGATACAATGTACCCTCCTCTTCATCACCGAAAAAAAAATGGCTTCAGATTAAGAATTAAAATTTCCTGAATCAAAAAGTATTCTAATTAATGATCTGGGCACACTTGTAAATTTGAGCTCAATACTGTAAAGATCCGTGCAGTCCTTTAATTTTGCTCTCCCTGCCTTTAAAGCTAAATCTGGCAGCTTCCCTCACTCCAGGGTAGCTAATTAACACCCACAACACAATTCTCTTGGCCAGGATTCCTTCAAATGCCTATCTCCAACCTACCAGACATCGGCTAGGATATTAACCTAGGCTGTTCTGAGTAATTCTATAGTATTTCCAACTTTATTTTTAAAACGTCTCAGCCAATGACCGACCGTTGCTTTTACGGCTTTCCTGTGAAATTTCAGGTGCCACTGAGGTCATGTTCGAAGGACACCCAGCAGAGTTTCTTAGAATGGGTTCTGGTAATACCCTCAGCCGGATCACCTGGTGTGTTAAAAATACAGATTCCTGGGCCCCCTGTCAACTCCACTAAGTCAGACTCTCTGCTGATAGGGCCTAGATTTCTGCCCCTGAGGCGAGAGTGCCAGGTGGTTCTTCCACACACAATTTGACAGTCAAGTTTTCAAGAATGGGCGTTTCTCTCAAGTCTATGAGAAAAACAGAATAGAACAACAAGTGAACCAGCATCAGGAGGAAGCACTCAGCCAGCATGTGGAACACTCTGCAAGATAGCTGGGCCTGGTTTCTTCAAAAAGTCAATGGCATATCCATCAGCTGATAAATTAAAAAATGTGTTATAGCCAATCAATGCCATATTATTCAGCCATCAAAAGGAATGAAGGAGTCCAGCACTGCATAGCACTACTCTTCTCCGTCGGGCCTTGAAAACATTATGCTAAGTAAAAAAAAGCCAGACACCAAAGACCACATGTTGTGTTATTCCATTAACGTGAATGTCCTAAAAAGGCAAATCCATAGGGACAGGAAGTAGATTAGTGACTGCCAGAAGACATGGGGAGGCAGGTGGGGGAGTGACTGCTAATAGATCAATTTCATCTTGGAGTGATGAAAATGCTCTTGAATTAGATAACGATGATGATTGCCCAAGTCTATGAATATACTAAAACCGACTGAATTGTGTGCCTTAAAAGAGTGAATGTTATGGTATCTGAATTGTATCTCAAACACTGTTAATAGAAAAGTTGAAGTTGATAAAGTTAATTCCCATATCAGGACTCACAGAATGGAGGCCACCCCAGTGGCCTGGCTCTCGTCACGAATCGAAACCTAGGTCAACCTGTACATGCAGGAGGCACCTGTTAAAGCAAGCTTACCCCAACATACACCCAACATACACCCACTGCTTGAGTGGCATTGTACTCCCCCAATCCGTGGGCTGTCTTCCCTTGAAGAGAGGACATTAAACTTGTTCCTCAATTGTTTGGGTTTAGTCATTTGACAAAAGTGTTGGAAAAAGGGGGGGGGGGCATTTTTTTCTTGACTAAAAGAGGCTTAAAAGAAATGGGAAATATAACCAAATACAGTGAGTAGACCTTGTTTGGATCTTGATCCAAACAAACTGTAAAATACACAATTTTAGGCAATGGGAGAAGTTGAATATGGATTGGAATTATTGTGTCTTTTCTTAGCAATCATACTGGCATTGTTAGGTATGATTATATCTTTTCTTTTGAGATGAATACTGAAATATTTAGGGGTGAAATAATATGATATCTGGGTTTTCTTTAAAATAATTTGACAAAATAGTCTGCAAACTGAATGTTTTTAGTTGATAGTTGTGGCTGAAAAAGAAATACACAGGGATGTGTTGACTTTTATCTTTGTGCATAGTTGGATATTTTCATGGTAAAAGTTAAGAATAAAAGGAACTCTAAATTATCTTCCTTTGTTTTGATTCCAAAAATGTCAGTTCAGTTTGTATGCTTAAACACTGCAAGTGTTAGGATGAGATTGAAAGGCAAATATTAGAGGTAGGTCTTTAGTTTTGAGCTTTTCAGCAGGAAAAGGCCAGAGGGGGGATTTTGAATACTTCCCTTGAATTCAGAGAAATGAAATGGACAAAATAGAAACACACTGGGCTCAAAGTTCCTCGGTCATTTTAAAAAAGAAAAAACCTATTCAAAGTCTCTCCTCAAAAGCCTCTTGAAATTCTAAGAGGATGAAATTATTGTTAACTAAATATGCAGTTGATACTTTAAGCAACAAATTAATTTCACATCAAAATACATTTGTGTCTAATATATGGGGCTCAACATTTTATTGTGTAGGACTTCCTGTGGTGATCTGTTGCTTCAGAACTGAATTTTACTCTTATAATCATTTTTTTTTTTTACTAGGGACATTTACTTGCCTTAAAGATCTGTGACTGTATACACACACATGTATATAACTTAATATTACATATATCATATAATATTATATATATATAAATATATATAACACTTCATGCTGAATCTTTGACCAGGGAATTCACCCAAATTATCACATCTTTCTTATGGGAGCATTGCATCTGTCTTCACATACTGATTTCAGTATGACAGGGGAGGGTGACCTATCTGCTTCAAAATCAGAATCCCATATTCTTCTCTAATGTCATCTGGCCTGACTGATAACCCTCTTGCCACATGATAATTAGGATCTGGAAAAAACATTGACTAGGAAACATTCTACCTGGACATGAAAAATCTTGGACACGTAAACATTTGAGAGATTCTTTTCAGGATATTGATACTGAGGAGGTTGGTGGCAGTGCCCTCTTTATGAAGATCCATGGAGGAATTTCTTTCAGGAATATGTGTGTTTCTCTTGAGCGTCTGACCGGTTTCTCTTTTCTGATTTTTGCATCAACTGCCAGGCAGCTCAGAGCAAGATTTTTGGCCTTCTTCCAGCAAGTGTATAGAGCCTCCTGGGTTATATTTTGTGTACCAGCCGCTGTGTTCCAATTTCCTCACCGTTTTCTTAAAACTCATTGCAATGTATTCTTATAGACTACATTTAAGTCCTCTTTGGACTAAAACGGGGGTATAAACAATAAATAAACAATAAATTATAAATAAGCAAACACAAAAACAAATACAAAAAAATATTACAAACAATTACATTATGAGTTGCTTTCAAGTACTTGGTTAACACCGTTTCACTTTTCACACGTACTACTTCCTTCTTCCTCTGTGCATGGGCGTCTGGCTCCCTTCTGACATTTATCACCTGTGAACGAGCTGGGTTTACCACAAAACGTGAGGAAGGGAAAGAGGGCAAGACTCAGAGGGCTTCGGTGCATCATTAGGACATTCCTATATTGGAAAAAAAAAAAAAGTGGCTTCAGAGATGGTCTGAGATTAATGTGTTTGTGTGCAAGATGGGAAAAAAGACCATGTGAAATATGTTCCATCTCAAACAGGGTGGAGAAAAGCAGTATCAGACTGTTGCCTGATCATTCCCAGCAGCATTTTCATCCAGAGGGCTTGGTGGCTGTTCAGTGAGGGCAGGCAATTGACCTTCTTTTTTTTTAAATAGATTTTTGTCTTTTTTTTTAAAGATTTTATTTATTTAATTGAGAGAGAGAGAGAGCAGGGGGAGGGGCAGAGGGAGAGGAAGAGAATCCCAAGCAGAATCCCACTGAGCACAGAGCCCAATGCAGGGCTTGATTTTACTACCCTGAGATCACGACCCTGAGCCAAAAGCAAGAGTCGGATGCCTCACTGACTGAGCCACCCAGGTGCCCCTAGCAATCGACCATTTTTATGTTTGAGGTTGTGGCTCTCAGGGAACCTTTCTGTAGGTCGACCCATCATTTCTGAGTCTCTAAAACCAATCTCATTCTATATAGGTGACATTCCTGGGGCTCAAAACCAAGCTTCTCCACACCTGCCCTCCAAACCTGGCTGAGACCTTCTGCCCAGTTCTGGTAACTGGGTCCATTTTCTAGTGACCTATGTGGTCACTTATAGTCCTGCCCATTCTTACCAAGCTCTTCCTAGAGCCAGGGTCCCATGGTGGGTCTCAGCATGGTGACCCAGGCCCTGCCCTCTTCCACCAGTCCTAGAGTCAGGCAGAAAGAGCACTGTGGCAGGAATTCAAAAGCTGGAAACCATCTTCTGTCTCTCCCTGGGTTTCAGTACACAGCTGGTGCATCTTCTGGGGCACGTTATCACCTGTCTGGGGTCTCAATTTCTACATGTATAAAATGAGATGTTTCTCAGCATTCGTATGAGGCTTCAAGGAGGCAATATATGTCAAAAACTTAGAACAGCGCCTGGCACGCCTGGGTGGCTCAGCTGATTAAGCGGCTGCCTTCGGCTCAGGTCATGATCCTGGAGTCCCGGGATCGAGTCCCGCATCGGGCTCCCTGCTTGGCAGGGAGTCTGCTTCTCCCTCTGACCCTCCTCCTTCTCATGCTCTCTGTCTCTCATTCTCTCTGTCTCAAATAAATAAATAAATAAATAATCTTAAAAAAAAAAAAAAAGGATTGTTGATTTAAAAAAAAAAAAAAAAAGAACAGCGCCTGGCACATAGTAATAGGCGTGCAGTGAAAGCTGGCCATTATTCTGATGAGTCAGCAAGAAGACTTTTTGATACGAACATGGAAGTTTCTCCTTAGCTACGCGGTGCTGGGGATGTTACTGAAGGAGAGCCGGAGCGTACCTTTCCCCCAAGCATCCAAGCCGCATGGGCGGATTTATAATGCAGCTACTGGAGTCCAGTTTAGGTTCCAGGCCCAGGAGGGGTTCTACAGTGTGTTCACATGGTTGCATATTTTTGTTAGATTCACAAAAGTAAGATGTTTTTGCATTCTTCTTCGGAAGAAAGACCAGTAAAATCAGCTGAGCTTCAGGCCTCCCAAAGTCTGGCTGCACCTGGTATCAAGTCATATTACATCTCTGGTGCCCCCACCACATGGACAGATGGGTGCTGACAGCAGGGAGATTGACAGGTGGGTACAGACTTACAGATATGACTGCACATGTTAAAAAGGCTGATTTAAAACACTGTCATTCACTGAGATGAGCCACCTTTGCTCTAAAAGAAAGAATGTAAATGTTCTGAGCTGTCTTTAGAACTGCATGAATGCTTACATCATACCCCGAAGAGGTAGCTCTCTCTCCAAAAAAGCCTTCTTCACCCTTGCTGTTTAATCAAATTTCACACTAGTCCCTGCTTTTGCAGATGAATTGCTGCGCGGAATGTTTTGTGTTTGCGCTGGTGGCTTTTTGTGGCCCTACCCTATAAGGAGCCCACTGGTTCCCAGAGCTGAGCCCACTGAATCTTTGCAGAAATTGCATTCCACAGCTCAGCAGAACGCATTTTGCCATGGATTTAAAATAGCCTCTATCGGTAACTCTCACGCTTTCTTCAGTGAAGAAAAAAAAAATTGCCAAAACTTAGAAAAGAATGGAATGCAATAGCCAACATACAAAAACATCGGTTCTTAATAGAGCAAATCCTTGATACTGAGGGCCAACTAAGATGCCGTCCAAGGCGTCCGAATGTCTCTGCAGCTACCTCTGATGAGTCTGGGTGTCTAAACTAACCTAGGAGTCTAACCTGACCCCCGTTTCAGTGTGCAGCCATAGAGAGGTACCCAGATGGGGGATGGAGAGAAGACTGTCATCACTGTGGTAGGATCACGTCTATCGGGACCCGGGGTAGACATGAAAGAGAGCACCAAAGGCATCACAAGGGAGATCATGCTGTTTTCTTTATCCAATTTCGGGCAGTGGTGGCCAGTGCCCAGGCTGCTCCCGGCCCTTAATTCAACGAGAGTCCCTAACTGTGGGAGGTGTCAGCTCTACTTTTTGAAAAGTGCTATACAGTCGTCCCTTGACTAACACAGGTTTGAACTGCCCAGGGCTGCGATTTTTTTTTTTTTTTGATAAATATAGTACAATACTGTGAATCTATTTTCTCTTCCTTGCGATTTTCTTAATAACACTTTTTTCTCTAGCTTTATTTTAAGAATACAGTGTATTAAACACATAACATACAAAATGTATGTTAATGGACTGTTAATGTTATTGGTAAGGCTTCTAGTCAACAGGGGGCTATTAGTAGGTAAGTTTTGGGGGAGTCCAAAGTTATTGTGGATTTTTGACTGTGCCGGGGTCAGTGCCTCTAACCCCCACATTGTTCAAATGTCAACTCTACTTTGTTCTGATACCATGTTCATACAACTATTTACAGAAGGGTAAAATAGGCTTTCCTTTATTTTCTGTAATGAAAGTGATGATTATTTTATTTTCTGATTATAAATAATATAGACTCATTGTAAAGAATTTACAATGATGATTCAGAAATATTTAAAAGAAAATAAATATATGAAGTCCCACCACCTTGAGAGAACCACCATTAACAGTAAGCATCTTTGCATGAAGACACACAGACTATAATATATATACATATATATGGATATAGATACAGTATACAGATATATAGATACTTGGGATTACAAGATACATGGGGTTTTATCATAGACATTTTCTTTCTCCTTCTCACTCCTCCTCATCCACCCTGTTCTCCAGGTAATCATACTAAGAATATGTTGTGCTTGTAGATGCTGAGTCTTGAGGGATAAATAGGAGTTAGGGAGCAAAGGAGGAGAGGTGGTAGGTAGTCCAGACAAGGAAATCGGAACATGCAAAGGCAAGGAAGAAAGAGCTCTTTGAGCAGCGCTTCTTGAAACTTCAATGTGCATGCAAGTCACATTGGTTGAAATGCAGGTTATGACTCAGCAGATCAGGGGTGGGGCCCGAGATTCTTTACTTCTAACAAGCTTTCAGGTGAGGTGCATGCTGCTGGCTCACACTTTGAGATACAAATTGCTGTGCTATGCAATATGGTATCTACCGGTCACATATGACTATTTAAATTTAAATTAAAGATAAATAAAAATTAAAAATCAGTTCCTTCGTTGTACTAGTCACATGTCAAGTACTGACTAGCCACATGTGGCTGCCATATTGGACAGCACCGTTATAGAACAGTTTCATTATCACAGAGAGTTATATGGAACAGTGCTGGCCAGAGCATTCAGGGAACTACAAATAGTTCAGTCTGGCTAGATCATAATAGGTGTGTGGGGTGGGAGGGAGTAGAAAGATAGACAGGGAATTGGTCTTGGTCCTGGTGGTAGTGAGGAGCCATTTAAGGATTTCCAATGGAGATGATAGCAGTGTGGAAGGGTACTAGGGGAGGGACGATGGAGGCAGGGAGGCTGAGTGGAGGCTGTTGCTGTGGGCCAGAAAGTAGATGATGTGAGCTAGAACTAAAGTAACAGGGAGTGGGGAGGAGAGGGAAGACTCACGGAATGGTCTACGGAAAGAACTGACTGAATAGAAGGAGGTGAGGAGGCAGGATGCTGAGAATGGGAGGAGGAGGCAGAGAGAGGACATCATTTGGGCTGAGGAATTGTTATTCATCAAGAGGACACAGAAGAGAAGTGTGAGGTTGGAAGAAGAGAATGAACTGTGCTTGAGACAAGTTGATTTTGTGGTATCTCTGGGTCCTCCAGATGAGGATGTGTGCAGGACTTGTGGGTATTTGGTACTTAAAGCCAGAGAGAGCAGTTTAGGCTGAGGGAGCACCTCTGCATGGGAGGGGGTATGGGGTGGGAGAAGGCAGGCAGGCTGGGAGTCCTTCATTGCATCCTAGCTCTGCCATAAGTTGTGCAGTCTGGGATAGCCACTCAGACTTTCTTGGCCTCAGTTTATGATCTCTAAAGTGATGATAATGGTATTTTTATGTAAAAGATTAAATTCTATGACTGTTCATAAGTGCTCATTCAGTGTTACTAATAATAGTCTTATTATCTGCCTTGCAGAATTGTCTTAGGAATTAGGGATGGCATGTGTAAAGTGTCTGATGCTCAATAAATGGGGACTTTTATTATTGTCTTTCCTGGGAAGTTGGTCAGCAAGAGTGTAGAGAGTAAAAAGAGAAGAGAGTTGAGAAAGAATGTCATCAGAACCAACACTTAAAAGGGGAGGACAAAAGAGGAAGAAGGAAGGGCCACAGGTGTAGGAGGAAAAGCAGGGATGAGTGGAGAGTCAGAAACCAGAGGGAAGGAGGAATCAAGGAGGGAGTGGTCAGTTATGTCCGATGCCACAGAGAGGCTAGGGAAGTTCAGGAGCATTGGATTTGGTCACTGAGAGGTCGCCGGTGGCCTCGGAGAGCAGTTTCAGGGGAATGGGGAAGAGGAAAGCCAGACTATACTGACCCGAGGGCTGAATCAGGCTGAGACAATGGAGGCCTATGTCGGCATGGTCTTCTTGAAGGTCTGTTAGGAAGGGGGGGAAGGTGTGACATCTGGGGACTGGGGCACATTTGATGAAGGGAAAGTTTATTCAGGTTGAAAGCGATAGAGTATATATACATAGAGAAGCTGAGAGCCAGAGAGAAGTGAGAGACAAGACAGAGAGGGAAAAATACCCCCAAATAATGGAAAGCTTGTGAGGCTGAGGGAAGCTGGCAGGAATGGAGCCTGGAGCCCAGGGGCCGGGATTTATTTAATGGTGGTCCAGGGGAGATGTACCTGTTTACGGAGGCGGGGGTTTGGGGAAATATGAAGACAGTACCTGCCCATCAGGTCTCCTGTGCTTTTCCACCTGGCTCCCTGGTACTCTAGGTCGAGCTAAATTTTCTCAGGCTGGACAGATTTCTCTCAAATAATCAGGTCAATTGATTCCGTTTTCTTTAAATTGAATTACAAGCATTTTTCATACCAAATAGAGATTACCCTGAATTTAACTCAAAAAGCAGTTATACAATGAGTTAATTTTGCTCCATCACCTCTGTATTAATTTTAATTATTTTTTTAATAGTTGAGAAGACATTTTTCCTCTACTCCAAACAAATGGTTTTTACGATTTCAAATGAACTGCGGTTGTCATTTGCCCAGAGGTGTGAAGTCCTCAGACTGAGGTGGATTTCTCCTGAGTTCAAGTGAATCCCTATTGTAATTCTTTCATAACCTCTTCCAGTGTTTATCACCTGGTTTGGGAGGAAAGCATTCTGCACAACCACTCCCAAGTCCACTAGGTCGCCACTGAATTCCTTCATTAGTCTCTTTGCTGATGTTTACTTCTCTGTCCTAAGACTCTTCCCATGCACCTTGTCCACATTCATTGCCATAACTGAAGGAAAGGGGACACCTGTCAGCTCTCCAGAGGGACTATAACAAGAACAGATTCAAAACTAGAGACATGTTTAGAAGACTCTGAGAAAGGTAAAGGGACGCAAAGTGGTGTTTCCTCTGCCACTTTAACCCATTCTACATTCATCTTATGAATATCTACAAAGTAGTGAGTGGCTGGCTTCCAGGATTTATTAAAATTTACTCTCTTTCTTCTCCTCAGCAAAATCATCCTAATGACTCCCAAACCACACCCTACTTCAGATCCTATCATTTCCTCTCCCCAAAACTGCCTGAATAGCTTTGCATTGTTCTTAGCATAAAATACACACTCTACCAGGGCCTCTGGCTTGGTCTGGACCCCATCCACCCGCATCTCAGGCCACTCTGCTCCTCCATCCTTAAATTCCATTTATGCTTTTGGGTCCTAACAGGGGTCAAATGCTTTCCTGTTCTTTGGGCCTGTTGACCCCCAACCACCTGGGAGATGGCCTATCTTGATCAGACAGTCAAATATAAATGCTATTTCTTTCCCTTCCCGCCCCACACACCTGGGGAAAGGCAGTGTGGTATAGTGTTTTGAGGGGCTATACTTTCAGACTTTTGGGGTTGAAATCCCGGATCCACCACCTGCTAGCTACTCTGTCACCTTGGGAAGTTACTTCACGTGTCTGTTTCCCCACTTAAAATGTGGGGCTGATGGGACGCCTGGGTGGCTCAGTCAGTTACATGTCTGCCTTTGGCTCAGGTCATGATCCCAGGGGCCTGGGATCCCAGGGCCCTGCTCAGAGGGGAGCCTGCTTCTCCCTCTGCCTCTGCCCCTTCTCCCTGCTCATGCTCTCTCTCTGACAAATAAATAAATAAAGTCTTTAAAAGAAAATGTGGGGCTGATAAAAGATACTTTGAAGACTAAATTTGTTAACAGACGGTAAATTCTTAGGACTGTAATACAAGTTGTCATTTTAGCATATACTCCGATTTTATTCCACTTGTCAGGTTTGAGTCTGTCACCTAGGGAAGGTTTATGGTGCTCCCCAAGCCCCTGCCGATGATGGTCGACTCACTGAACTGGCTTAATGAATGAACAATGAATGGTCCTTTCCGATTTAGGAGGCGCCACTGGGTGCGCGTGGTCAAAGAGACAAGGTCTGCCTTCTCTTTGAGCTGACGGTTCAGCTGGTCAAACTCTAAACACATGCCGGACTGTCTGTTGCGGGAAAGGGAATCTCTGGGTCGTGGCCCAGCCCTAGAGTGACCGGAATCCGCCCCCCCTCCCCGGAGGGGCCCCGAGGAAGGCACCTTGCCCGCGAGAACCAGAACCGCGAGGGCCAAGGGGAGGCGCCAGGACTGCGGAGCTTCCGAGAAGGATGCTCCGCGCAGGCCTAGCTCGTCCTCCAGCCACGGAAGAGCCCGAAGGACCTGGGCGGGCCGAGGACGGCGGGCGCCAATGGCCGGGCCGCCCCGCCCCGGCCGGCGACTTCCCGGGATAGGCCCCGCCTCCTTGTCGCGCCGCCGTCCGGGTCTCTGCGCCGCACGCCCGTCGCCCGCCGGAGTCCCGCTGAGGTGCGCGGTGAGTGTGGGTGGGGGCGGCGGGGGCGGCGCCCGGCCTGCGGGCCCGGCTGGGGCCGCGCTCGCCCCGCGTCCCCTCGAGCTTTGCCCGCCCGGAGCTCCGCTGCTCCCGGCGGCCAGAACGGAGGGGTAGAGCAGTCCTCGGAGGCCCGGGAGGGCGGGCGGCCCAGCTCGTCCCGGGGCCGCGCGAGGCACAGACGCCGCGCGGGGCCGCCCGGAGGCCTCCCCGCGCCCAGGCCCGGGCGCCCTGACAGCCTCGCGCTTCGCTCCCGCAGGGCGCCGCCGCGGCTGCTTTGTCGCGGGTTCGGGGCCGGCCCGCCTGCGGCTGCGGGAGCCCAGCCCGGCCCGACCCGGGGACCCGGGAGTCTGTCGCCGACGTGTGCGGGCTGCAGCGGCCTGAGCTCTACGCGCAGGTAGGTCCCCGTCCTGGGGTGAAAGACGGGGACCCAGGCCCGGAGCACGTGGCGGGTGGCGACCGGGGTTCCCACGTGTTCGGTTCTAAGGGCCCCAAATTGGCGGGCCTTTCGGATAGAGGGAATGCACGTTCCCGGGCTCCCCCCGCACAACAGCTGCTTCCGGTGGGTTTTCCCGAAAGCGCCGAGATCCGGGGGATATTGACGAGGGAGGCGTGCAGGGATCCTAGAGAGAACCCTGTAAAAATCCCCAAAGGCCCTTTCCTGTGCCCTTTTGAGGTTGACATGGTGCCTTAAGAGGCTAACACAGAAGGGTAAAATAAGTCTCCATAAAACCCAGGGAGGAGATTGTAAAACTCCTCTTTGGATCCTGTCTGGAGTCACAGCTGAACCAGAGGAAAGTTTTCTTTTGGCTCAAGCACCTTTGTGATTTTTAAAAAGATTTTATTTGAGAGAGAGCACGTGCACGAGAGAGCGAGGGTGAGCACGCGCAGAGGGGGGGGGAGGGGCAGAGGGAGCAGCAGACTCCCGCTGATCAGGGCGTCCAACTCCGGGCTCCCTCCCAGGACCCCGGGATCATGACCTGAGCCCAAGGCAGATGCTTAAGGGACTGAGCCACCCAGGACCCCCTTTGTGATACTTTTATACAGTTCCCAGCACAGTGATAAATTTAAACCTAACCTTAGTTTTGATGATACCTTCAGAGATGCTTATCTTTGAAGGTGGAAAAAAACACAGGTGATGGAACACGTGCACAAGGCGTTTTCTGGACATCCTTTGAGACAAACTGAAAAGAATATACCTCAAAATTGTTTTCTGCTTGAAAGGTCATTCGGAAATTTTTCTTTTTTATAGGTTGAATACTACAGGTACAGGCCGCGGAAGCTGGAATATTCTGATGCTGGTATTTTTACTGACTTATACCAATTCTCCAGTTTACAGTACACACTAACGAGGTCAAATAGTCTTCCATAACTTGTAGCAGCTATGTGTCCAGCGCGCCCTTCACAGGCCTTAGCCGCAGGACAGTGCTGGTGGTGACCGGGCAGCATAGCAGGTGTTTTACCTTCATCTTGTCATTCAGTTCTGACAACTCTGAGGTCGGTACTATTCCCTTGTTTTACAGATGAAGCAACAAAGAGGTTAGGTACTGACTCAAGGTCCCGCCACATGTGAGGCCCTGAACAGGGGTCCTCGTGTAACTTTCTGGCCATGTGACCTCTTGGAAAGTCACTTCTCTTGGCATTTAATGTTCACTTGGAGCTGTAGTAATATTGAGACAGATGAGGCCAGTTTGGTCAGGGGAGACCACAGCAGAGCTATTAAGAATATAAGGTCTTCATAGTATTTAATTACATCAGACCTACGAAGTTACCAAGATTTGGCACAAAGGGGGCATCTGTCAGCATGTTAGGTGTTTTTGATGAATGAGCATAACGAGCTGTGACGGGCTTTAAAGGATACAGGGGTGCTAGATTGTTAGAATATGAAAATCTTCAAGGTGATGGGGTAAGTTTTCATATGGGAAGAAACGAGACAGTGAAGCAAGATGAACAGAGCCTAGTATGTGCTAGTTGTTCATGCTGACCAGCCCTGAATGTCTGCAAATACCTCATTTTCCAGAAGTTTTCAATAAAGATTTAATATTCACCTTGCAGTCACTCTTCATGCTTATTTCATAGCATTGTTCCAGTCTTTCCTTCTAAACTTCATTTTACACTGGTATATTACACTGTGAAATTCAGCCTCATCACTTTTTTAGGTAATTTATTCAACAAATATGTGAGAAGGCCATAATTGCTAGAGGGGAGAAAAGAAGGGAAGGGAAAGAGGAAGCACATGTATATGCACTGAGAGTAGAGGACATGAGCTCAGAGAGGGCTGGCCAGGGAGGACCAGGGATGCTGTGGGTCTGTATGCATTTGGGTGAGGAACGTAGGGCCAAGTGAAAACAAATAGCCCTGAGGGAGAAGTGTGTAAAGGTTTGGGGGAAAGCAAAGTGAAGCTGCAGAGAAATGACCTGAAGGGGAAGAGGACCGCTTGTATGCAGGGCTAAGATGGATATTTTAACACTATTGTAAAATGGTAACTATCTGGCCTCCCAGGTCTCTGAATGCTGTAACGTTTACCTAGGAACGCTCCCTAGCAGCTCCCTAGCACCCATACTCTTTCCTGCTCTTACCCAACTTTTCTGTGGCCACTATCATCCCTCCCCTGACCCCCCATAAGTGCTCTTGTTCTGGAATTCTCTAGCATCCTATAACAGCCTTGTCATATTTAGAAGTCTAGTTTGTGGTTGCCCTGCCCCTGCTTTACTACAGTAAAGTCCACCTTGGTTCCCACCATATTCCTAAGGGCTAATCAGACTGGTGTAATACTGATTCTGGTATATTTGAGCCCTAAACCCATCATGAGTATAATACAAGGAGCAGTATCATTTATAATTAAGCCTCATAATAATATTGGGTTGAATTATATATGGCATTCAGGTGAGTGGCTTACAGCCATCTGTTAGAAGCAGCAGAACACTAAAGCTATAGGTTCAAGCCCCCACCCTTCCATGTGATCCTAGACCAGTTACTTAGCTTCAGTCTCTGCCTAATCATCATAGTTACTAAAGTTGAGTCTATACATAGTAATTACCTGGTGAGTAGTAAGCACTCAGTAAATGTCATTCATTGGTAGTACTATAGGATCATTTTTTTAATATTGTATGGTCCTTGTAATAAAATGACAATGCTGGTGTTTAGTATTTATATACTAAAATGCTGGCTTTGGTTTTCATTCAATAAATAGAGCATGTAGCATAGGCCAAGTACTGCTCTAGGTTTTGTGACCACATCAGTGAACAAAACAGACAAAAATCCATGTATACTGTTGGCAACTGATTCACTGATAGAGTCCTCCATTGTAAAGACCTGTGAGGCTTCCTTGTTCAGTGCTGGAACTAGTTAGCAAGGTGGAGGATGGGGGCAGAGGGGTGGGAGGTGGTTGGTAGAACAAAAGGCCTGTATGAGGTGACTTCAAATGCTAAGTAGGTAAAGGGAAAGAAAAATGGAGTCCTAAAGCTTCCACAGGCTGCAGCAAGTTCTGGCAGAACAAGGAATTCGTAAAACACTACATCAACAGTGGTCCAGTGATAATGGGCCAAGAACATGACTGTTTTCTAGCTACTGTTTCAAGGTGTAAAACTACAAGTGTTCAAGTCTGAAGGTTATGGCAGACAGTTGCCAAGAATAACCACTGGTCTCACAAATGGCTCCACTACACCAAGTCCTAGTGGTGGCTCCTTGCCCCTAGAAGTTAACCTGGGCTGGGTGAACAGGTGGAGACCCTGTGGCTGCCATGGATCCTCCCTCTCCCACTACCAAACCTCAACAAGTGCAGCTCAGTTTACACTTTGGTTTTCCAGTTTTATTTTAAGATTTTATTTATTTGTCAGAGAGCACAAGCAGGGGGAGCAGCAGGCAGAGCAAGAAGTAGGCTCTCTGCTGAACAAGGAGCCTGATGTGGGACTTGATCCCAGAACCATCATGACCTGAGCCGAAGGCAGACCCTTAACCAACTGAGCCACCCAGAGGTCCCTGTAGAAAGGGTTTTGATGCTAAAAAGTTTGAAGTCCATTAGACTAAACAATAGCAGGTGAAAGACGGAAGCAGTCTTTTTTTTTTTTTTCTTTTAAAGATTTTATTTACTTATTTGAGAGAGAGAATGAGACAGAGAGAGAGAACACAAGATGGGGGAGGGTCAGAGGGAGAAGCAGGCTCCCCGCCGAGCAGGGAGCCCGATGTGGGACCCGATCCCGGGACTCCAGGATCATGACCTGAGCCGAAGGCAGTCGCTTAACTAACTGAGCCACCCAGGTGCCCCAAGATGGAAGCAGTCTTAAGTCCGATACGGAAAAAAAAAAAACCAAACTTTTTTTAAGGGGCCTCAGAGTCCAGAATTTAGAACCATAGATACTAGAACTGTGCTGCCCAATATGACAGCCATCAGTCACATGGGGCTATTTAAGTTTAAATCAAAACTGAGTAAGATGAAAAATTCAGCTCCTCAGTTGCATTAGCCACATTTCAAATGCTCGGTAGTCACATGTGGCTAGAAGCTACTGTACTAGACAACAGATACAGAACATCTCCATTACTATAGAAAGTTTCATTGGCAGTACTGTTCCAGAGATTCTATGGGGTTTTATAGAAGAGAAAAACCTATGGTATAGGAGACTGAATAATGACTCCCAAATATAGTCAGGTCCTAATTTCAAACCTGTGTTACTTTATTTGGAAAAGGGTCTTTGCAGATGTGATTAGGTCAAGGTTCTTAAGATGGGAAGATTATCCTGGATAATCTCTGAGCCCTAAATCTAGTCACAAGTGCCTTTATTTAATTAATCTATTAAGTAGGCTCTATGCCCAGCATGAAGACCAGCGCAGGGCTTGAACTCAAAACAGATCGAGACCTGAGCTGAGATTGAGTCGGGTGCTTAACCAACTGAGCCACCCAGACACCCCCACAAGTGCCTTTATAAGAGGGAGACAGAAGGAGACTGTGCTCAAGGGAGGAGGCCATGAGAAGACAATCGGAAAGAGATTTGATTTTGGCCTTGAAGATTATGGAGCAATACAACTTGAGGCTAGGGGAAGCTGGCAGCCACCTGAAGCTCTGGAAGACTCCTGGAATAGATTGAGAGTGTGCACTTGATTTGACCCCGGAAAACTGATTTCTGGCCTCCAAAATTGTGAGAGAATAAATTTCTGTTGTTTTAAGCCACCAAGTTTGCAGTAATTTGTTATAGAGCCAAGCAGCCTCTGGTAACTAATACAGATGGAAAGCTTAAGATCACAAATATAGCTGGAGCTGGAACCCCACCACACTGCCTCCTACGCTGTTTTTATTAGTGCCTTATGGGTGTGTGGGTAGGGGTAGATCTTATCTATTCATTAGTCAGTTTTTAAAAAAATTTCAGAGGTATGGCAGTGAAGTTACACTTTAGATTTAAATCATGAGAGAAATGAGCACACGGCTAAAATACGGAGGATTAGCAAATACCTCATAAAACAAAGATGATCAAAACTAATAATAAAAAATCAATTTATGGTTTATTGGGATGTCAATTTATGGTTTATTTATGTATACTTTCAGTGAATTTCATTTACACAGTACAAAGCACCTCCAAAGATCAAGTTGTAAAAACTTAGTAATGAAAACAAATTAAGACAATATGAAAACCATTACTCCAATTATAATTTTTGCCTTGTGGGTCACACAGCTTTGGCCAGCTGGGGCCCAGAGGTAATACAGACCATTAAAATGAGACAGTTTTTCCACAACAACCTCAATTAGTTTGGGCTCATGTTCCACAAAATGAACCTTGGATTTCTGGGAGTCTTTTTTTTTTTAAGGATTATTTATTTATTTATTTGACAGAGAGAGAGCGCACAAGCAGGGCGAGTGGCAGGCAGAGGGAGAAGCAGGCTCTCCGCTGAGCAGGGAGCCCGACGCGGGACTCAACCCTAGCACCCCAAGATCATGACCTGAGCCCAAGGCAGCCGCTTAACCAACTGAGTCACCCGGGCGCCCCATCTGGGAATCTTTTAAACAACAGAAAACCTTAATAGTATAACTAAAAAAACTAGTCTTTTCAGAGACACCACCACAGGGCTCTGACTTAAGTCCTACACAGCAATTTGGTGTGTCTAAGTTGCAACATATCAGTACTGAATGATGACTGTATCCTGCAGACTGGGAAGGAAAGTGGGGCAAAAACACAAGTTTCTGAATGAGAAGTTCATCCTTTTGAACTCAACATTTCTTCTTATGGAAAGGAACAGCACATGATTCAAGTAGCTCCTTAAACTAAAATGCTAATGTTCATGGACAGAAATACCTGAAATTGTTCTCTAGGTCTACCCAAATTTATGTAAAATAATTTTCCACCTATTACTTCCATATCTCAACTCTGACATGAATTACCAATGCTTTTTTATTAGTGTTTCAGTAAAACTACCAATTGACTGACCATAATCTAAAGCTATTGGTGGCCGGCTGAATATGCAAGGTAATGCCTTCCTTTGATGACTGCTTATTAGAGCTGAAGCTTAGGATAGGACCACCACACTCAGTCAGTAGTACACATGGAAAACGTGAAGGTCAAAACTCAGCTTCTTATTGATGAAAAGATTGTGTCTGTTGTTGTTAATGTGTTGCTAATTGCAGTAATGCCTTCCAAAACTCTCTCAATGCATGGCATCTCATTCTCCTGATGAAAGAAGTTAGGAACAAAAGTGAGCTCTATTTGTCTACCCTTTGTACCAAATTCCAGACCCAAACAGTTTATATATAAAAATATTTAAAATTGAGATTTAGGGGGCGCCTGGCTGGCTCAGTCGGCTAAGTGGCTGCCTTTGGCTCAGGCCATGATCCCAGGGTCCTGGGATTGAGTCCTGCATCAGGCTCCCTGCTCAGTGGGGGGGCCTGCTTCTCCCTCTCCCTCTGCCTGCCGCTCCCCCTGCTTATGCATGCGTACTCTCTCTCACTCTCAAATAAATAAATAAGATCTTTTTAAAAACTGAAATTTAGATTACGTAAAGACTGAAGTTTTGTGGGCTTTTGACCAAACTCAGGTTCTTATTTGGGGGGTGGGGGGTGGAAGGGAAGAGTGTATTTTTACTGAAACTGCCTGCTATTCCTTACAGCCTATTCTGTTTCTTTCTTGTGACAGATTTGAATACCTATTTCCCACATCTGAGGTCAATTTCCCACTACAAAAGTCTCATTATTACAAGTCTGAATATCTCTGCCTAAAGATGGCCTTTCTTTTCTTATCTTTTTTGAAATATCTCCATATAGAGTAACATTGATCTCTAGCGTCCTGTTGAAAGTTTCTTGAACTGCCCAGCCTGTAGGTAACCTACTGATTATTGAAATGAGCTCACCCTGAAGAAACAAGGTAGAAATTTAAGTCCTGTGGTAAGTTTGATGGGTTCCTAATAAACCTTGAGCTCCATGCTCTCTACTTTGTCACACTCAACTCTACAGGCTTGACTCTGCTCAACTCATATACCTACAAAGCCAATGGAACATGTCTGAAGAAGCGCAGCTCATTTTAGATTCAGACAGAAGGTACTCCAAGACCAGTGAAACTAAAGTGTAGGATTGTGCCCTGAATATACACCCAAGTGGCAGGTTCATGTGCAGCTGTGTTTTTGTTTGGCCTCTGCAGGATCATCAACCACAGAATGAGATACAATCCTCCTAGAAACTTTCCTCATGTGCAAGTTTTCTTTCAGCATGAGTCTGTTTCTTTGTCTAAATTTAACTTTTTGGCCATTTTTCTTACAGTTAATTAGCTCTGTGAGCAAACCAAATTTCTGACCCTCTCATTGTTTTCATGTGTTCTGTGGATAATGGGACGGCCACTTCCTACATCATCATGGATATCATCTCTGCCTTCTTTAAACTTTTTGTGCCAGTCAAAAACTCTTGCTCTTGACATTGCTTCTTCACCATGAACTACTGTTAACATCTCAAGTGTCTCACTTGCAGATATATTTAACTTTACAAAAAGCTTAATATGAACTCATTGCTCTAAGTAACAGTCCCTCGTTTTTATGGTGGAAAAAAGAGTAATTCTACTCATATCTACTCAAAGTTAGCTGGCAACCCTGAAAGCAGGGTTGTGGGCAGCTAAACATATTATATCCGGGCAACAATCACTCCTCTGATTTCACAAGCCACACATGAAAAATTAGTCAAAATTAAAACAGAAGAGGGCAAACGATCTTTGGAGGAGTTGCTGAAGGTTTCAGCATCATACCATCTCAGCTTGAATGCCTCCTATTTTCCCATCTACAAAAGGGGAGAAAATAAATCAGCATTTTCTTACTTGTCAAATGGCTAGGAAAACGACATTTGAAATACAAGAACTATATGCAGAAGAGCATTTACCCTCCCAACCCCCCCCAAAAAAACCCATAAGAGAAAAACCATCCTAATAACAGTATGGAAGCTGCCATCCATCTTGGCTGTATGTTTAGAAAGAGCTAGTTTGAAATTGTGCTTTTTCTAATGATGTTGATTGGTAAGGAGGCCAAATGCAAGATGCCAAAATAGTTCATTTCCAAATACATAACAAGAGAACGGATGCTGTTGTCTCCAGTCTATAGAAAACAATGTATGTGGTTGAGTGTCTAGGAGTTCTAGACACATACTACCTAGTGTATTCAGAGTTTAAAACAAACACACATACATTGAAAATAGCATCTTGTAAGGTTTGAACATGAATTTCTTTCATTTAGTGTTCAAATCAAAATTTGAAAAGGTTTTCACAAATTATGTTTGTACAGTGCAGATTCTGGAATTAAAACAAGGCTTTCCAATGACTGGTTGCAACTTTAGATTGCATTTATTGAGGAGTTTTGCTTCTTGTGTGTGTGGTGAAATACACATACCATAAAGGATTTTTTAAATGTATAATTCAGTGGCATTACTTACATTCACAATGTTGTGCAACCATCACACTTCCAGAACTTTTCCATCATCCCAAACAGAAATTCTGTACCTATTAATCAGTAACTCCCCATTCTTTCCTCTCCCTAGACCCTGGTAACCTCTATTACTTTTTGTCTCTATGAATTTGAGTACACTAAGTACCGCATATAAGTGGAATCATACAGTATATGTCTTTGATTCTAGCTTATTTCACTTAGCATGTTTTCAAGGTTCTCCTATGTTGTACCAGGTATTACTGACTTCTTTTTAAGGTTGACTAATACTCCATTGTATGTATATACCACATTTCATTTATCCATTCATCTCTACATTTATTTGGGTTGTTTCCACCTTTTGGCTATCAGGAATAATGTTACTATGAACATGGGTGTACAAGTAACTGTGTCCCTGCTTTCAATTTTCTGGGGTATACACTGAGAAGTGGAATTGCTGGATCATATGGTAACTCTGTGTTTAATTTTTTGAGAAGCCATCACACTGTTTTCCACAGTAGCTAAACCATTTTACATGCCCACCAGCAATGCACAAGGGTTCCAATCTCTCCATCCATTTCCTCGCCAACACTTGTCATCTTCTACATGAAAATTCAGGTGTCTACAGGGGTTAAGTATTTGCTTCTGGATTCTCCTTTGCCTCTTCCCCCCCCCCCCCCCCCACTTTTCTGGCAGTGCTTTTCCTTCACTGAAAACACAGACTCAGGCTCAAGACTTTCAGTATTAAGTACTTGAAGATAATTTTGTGGTTTTTGACAAGTGCAAGAATTCAGTACACACTGACATGCTCCCTTACTGGAGGAATCTGCATTACTTTTTTAGGAGGTGAACAGGGCTACTTTAAGGGTCTGCATTAGAAACGAAGTTCAAAATGTAAATGTGGCTCCACGTGAACTCTCCGTAAATTAGCACAATAAGCACATGCTAAAAACGGGCTGGCACACTTAAGGCGGCTAATCCCTACAAGCATGGTATACCATAGGTACTGCATGCATTAAAAAGTGTGTTCGCAACAGAACCACACGTTCACTCAGTATTTTTAATCCAAATGTTCCCTTCAAAGTTGCATACAACACAGGAGTGGGCGTCAGTACCTGGCAGGATCTAATCAGGTCGCGCTTTCCTACCCCAGGGTCCTTGGGCCAAGTGACAGCAGAGCCGCTCCGCCGGCCAGGCTCCGCTCCTGCGGAGGAGAAGGCGGGTGCAGGCGAGGTCCAGCCCGAGAACCCAAAGCCCGGGCCGCGCCTCTCCCCCGCCTCGGGCACGGCGACGCCAGGGCGGTCCGGAGCGGAAGGACGCCTCCAGGCGTCGGAGGAGCCTGACCACCTAACCGAGGCCGCCAAACACCCGCCCCCTCGTGAGACCGCGGCGAGGCTCCCACAAACCGCGAGAACACAGGGAGACGCGTTGGGCCAATCAGCGGGTGGGGGCGGTCCTGAGCACATTCAATTGGTTAAACACGGGAAAGCTCGCGTCCCATTGGCATCTTTTCTGGCCCCAACTCCACCCCCTTGGCCTGGATCCCCGGCCCCTTCAGTGGCCCCGCCTCTGAGCCGAGGGGGTAGGGGAGGAGGCGCTGCGTTCCGGGTGCTGGGACTCCCGTCCCCAAACACCCCTAACCTCTTCCTGGTGGCCTGGTAGGAACAGATCACGCTCAGGCTCTGACACGTTCTGTCGTATTCCGAACCGTGGCCATTAACTCTGTGTTCCACACTACCCAGTCTTAGGCAGGGAGGTGATTTTACCTGTGCTTGAAAGAAGGCAGGGTTGTGTGGACCTTGCCAAATTAAGATGTTTCCCTTAAAGCTTCCTAATCTGAATACCTTATATCTTGCTCTGCATAGTATGCAATGAGCATTGACTTTTTGCTGCTTGTTTGATTTGGAACAAATCATTAAATCGTCAAAATAGCCCCAATGAAGTAGCTACTGTTACTTCCATTTTTCAAGTGAGGAAAGGAGGCACAGAGGGATTTAGTGACTTGTCCAAGTTCTGTCTGTTTCTTCTCTAAATATCAACTATACTCTGTCCTTGTCAGCCCTACTGCCCTACTTTAATTCAGGCCTTCATAATCGCTTGCCTGGATTACTTCTACAAACACACCCCTTAGCTCCTCTCCTTGCTATCCTCTACAAAGCCAAGGATTAATCTTTCTAATGCAAATCTAATCCTGTCTGTCAAATCCTTCTCAAGTCTCTCAAATGGCAAATCAAATAGCCCCGTATTGCCCATAGCTTCTGGTAGAAGCTGCTTTTTATTGAAATTTTACATACTTACAGATAAGTACACAAATCATAAATGAAATTCCACAAATGGATCACACCAGCAACCAGGTCAAGAAACAGAACACAACCAGCATCCCAAAAGTGTTTCCTTCCAATCACTACCGACTTCCCTCCCATCCCAGCGTTATCCACTATCCTTAGATTTTTAAGTAGTAAGTAGAGTAGCAGCCTTGTGTTTGTACATGATGAACGGGACCATTATAGCACATACTCTTTTATGTCTAATTTCTTTAACTCACTGTTATGTTCATTAGGTTCATCCATATGTTGACTCCATTTACAGCTTGTTCATGAGGATGCTGTATTGCATTCCACCATGTGAATACACCACATTTTATTTATCCAGTCAATTGTTGATAGACATTGAAATAGTGTATATTTTAGACCTATTAAATATATTGTTATGAACATTGTAATAGAGCTCTTTTAATGAACATGATGAAAGATGAATGCATTTCTCTTGGATATACACCTAGAAATGGAATTGTTGGGTCATAGGTTGTGCCATGTTTAAATTTGGATATTTTATTACAGTTTTCCAAAGTGTGCCAGTTACACTCCTATCAGCAAAATAAGACAGTTCTGGTTGTTCCATATTCTCATCAATACTTGGTATTTTCCATCTTTTTTTCATTTTGACCATTTTGGTGGGTGATAATTGTGCCTTGTGTGATTTTAATTTGCCTTTCCCTGATGATTAATGAAGTCGAGCACCTTTTCACATGTTTATTAGTTGTTTAGAAATAACTTTATGAAGTGTCTGTTAAAGTTTTGCCCATTTTTGTGAGCTGAGTGTTTTTTTTTTTTGTATTTTTCCTAACATTTGATTATAATAATTTTCAAATATTTAGCAAAAAAATTTTTTTTAATTTTACTCATTTATTTTAGAGAGAGAGAGTGTATGAGCACAGGGAGGCACGAGGGAGAGGGAGAAAGAATCTGAAGCAGACTCCACATTGAGTGCAGAGCCCAACATGGGGCTGGACCCAGGGCTCCATTTGGGTCTCAATCTGGGCTCCATTCGGGGCTCAATCCCACAGCTGAGCCCCAAAACCATGAGATCATGACCTGAGCTGAAACCAAGAGTTGGACGCTTAACCGACTGAGCCACCCAGGTGCCCCAAATGTTTAGCAAAGTTTAAAGAATTTTATAGTAAACACACATAAACCTACCATATAGAGTCTATGAATAACATTTTATAAAACTTGCTTTGTTACATTTCTATCCTTTCCTTTATCCATCTTAATATTGTTGCCTTTCAAAGTAAATTACAGATAGCAATACATGTCCTGTAAGTAATTTAGCCTGTATATCACTAACTGAAATTCAATGTCTAAGATTTCTTTTGATGTACAACTTCAACAAAATTAAATCCACAAATCTTCATTGTACATCTGCTGAGTTTTGAGCACATGAGTCTTGAGTTCCATGCCTCCTCCCAGGCAATCTTCATTTCCACTTTTTGGGGGGCTACCCCCATTCTAATTTGTTCTCCACTGTCTAGCTTTATGTGTTGCAAAATTTTGTATTCCTGGAATTATACAGTATGTACTCTTTTGTGCAAGCCTGCTTTCCACTCAGCATACTATATTTCTGATTCCATGCTTTTGCATGTGTCAGCAATCTACTTCTTTTTATTGCTGAGTCATATGCCACTGGACAAATAAGCTCAGTCTGTTTATGTATTATAAGAGGATTTTTTTATATGCATCTTTTGTCAGGTCTGTATGTGGCAAATATCTCCTCCCATTCTGGGTTTCTTTTCATTTTTTAATGAATGAAGTCCTTCGAGGAAAAAAAAGATCTTAATTTTAATATTCCAATGTGTCAATTTTTATGGCGAGTGTTCCTGATTTAAGGAGTCTCTACTTACTCCAGGTTATTAAGATTTCTCTTCTGTTTTCCTCTAAAAGTTTTACTATTCTAATTTGCTCCATTTGGAACAGTAATCCATTTGGAATTGATTGTTGTAAATGGTGGGATATAGAAGTGGACCCAGATGCCTTTTTTCCCATGTGGATATCCAATTAATCCAACATGCTAATTTAAAAGATCATTTCCCCCATTTGCAGTGGTCATAAATCAGATGGCCATATATGTGTAGACCTAGTTCCCAACTCTGTTCTGTTTGATAGACTGGTTTTGTCTACTTTGCATCAATACCACAGTCTTCATTGCTATTTGTTTTATAATAACCCTTGATAGTGCATCACTGAACTGAATTTTTAATTTCATTCAATTTGAATCAAAATAGCCATGTAGCTAGTGACCACCAAATTAGCACAGATACAGAACATTTCCATCCTCACAGGAAGTTCTGTCAACATCTCTGCTTTAGAAGACATCTAGAGGCCAATACCAGATACTTAATATCATAGCTGCAGGCCTACTTCAGTTTATTGCTGGGCTGCTCTTCAAAAATATCTGTGTAAAATCTCATTTTAGAAATTCAAAACATGCCTTCCCACACATAGGTAAGACACCCAGTTCTTTTGACCTTGCACTGTTAGCAATGAAAATATTATTTCAGGTGTGGGAGAGCTTAATGCTTCGGGAGACATTTCCTATGATCAGACACTGTAAAATATGCAGCCCCAAATCATATGAAAAGATTCCTGCTGTAGGACCAATACATGGAGTTTATTATCTGTCCTGGTCCAAGTTCACACCAAATTCTCTTTTAGAGGGCTTTCCTGGGCTATCACTGCTGTGTTTGAGAGAGTGGCTGAGTCAGATTTGGCTCTGGTGTGTAAGGAATTCCTCAAATCATTTTGTCCTGTTTATTCCATCAGACATTGAAGTCTTGTGCCATAAAATGATACATATGATACAAATGATACATATTATTATGTACTTCAGGTGTTACTTTTTACATTAGATACGTGTATTTCTCCCCATCATACTTGAATTTGATAACTGTTTCTTTTCTAATGTCTTGTGTTTAATAGTACCTATTTTAATTTATCATCAGTTTCCAGACCTGAGTATAGCACAGGGCTTTAGTTGTGATCTAAATTTCCACAGGGGCGGGGCGCCTGGGTGGCTCAGTTGGTTGAGCATCTGCCTTCGGCTCAGGTCATGATCTTGGAGTCCTGGGATCAAGTCCTGCGTCAGACTCCCTGCTCGGTGGGGAGTCTGCTTCTCCCTCTGCCTGTTGCTCCCCCTGCTTGTGCTCTCTCTCACTCTCGCTCTATCTCAAATAAATAAATAAAATCTTAAAAAAAAAATTTCCACTGGGGCAATGAATATTTATTGAGGCCCCTACTCTGCCAGGTGCCCTGAGCTGGGCACAAATCATAGATAATACTTACCATTGAGCATCTACCGTAGCGCACACACTTGCATTTGTTGTTTTTAATAATCATAACAACACTACAAGGTAACTATTGTTATCTCATTTTTACAAGTGATAAAGCTAAAGTTTTTTGGGGGGGGCGGGGATCAAGTTTCTGCAGCTAATAAGTGCTAGAGCTGAGATTTAAGCTTTGAATCCCCAACCTCCCTCCCATCTCTGTGAGACCCATCAGACCTCAAAGGGGCTTTGTTTCCTCTCAAGGAACATCTTGTCTAGTAAAGGAGATAAACACAGGGTGACCACAACCTACAGGAGAACAGACATTGCAAAAGGGAAAGGGAGGTACATGAAGCCAACCTGTGGGAAATGAGCCACATTGCCCAGCAACTTGGTCTTGTGAATGTGTACTGAAATCCCTTATTCTTCCCAAAGTCCTTCTAGAATGATCTGGGAAGGCAACAACCTTCCCTCTCCCTGTCCTCATTCTTCAGCCAGGTTTTTCTCTGACTCTATGTCTAAGAAAGAGGCATTGCTAACAAATGGTCAGTGCCCTCTTTAGGAGTACAACGCTCCAATGATCACCTCAGAACCAGAATCTATTAGCACCTTCAGAGCAAACATCTGAGTCCATGTGGAAGAAGGACCTGCAAGGATGGGCCCTTTAAGGAGACTCTGAATGTGAATGTGGTGGCTGGATCTCTAGTGCTGTCTTGGGCCATAAGGATAAGAGCCACATCCTAGGTGTTATGGGTTGAATTCTGTCCACCCTCTGCCCCCAGAATTTATATGTTGAAGTCCTAACCTCCAGTATCTTAGAATGTGACCTTATTTGGAATGTGATCTTATAGGCTCATTGCAGAAGTAAATGGGTTAAGATGAGGTCATACTGAAGTAGTGGAAGCCCCTAATCTGACTGGTGTCCTTATAAAAAAGGGAAATTTGGACCTAGAGACACACATAGGGAGAACACTATATGAACATCAAGGTGAAGGCAGAGATGCTTCTACAAAACGGGAAATGCCAAAGATTTCTCGAAACCTACCAGAAGCTGTGGGAGAGGCCTGGGACAGATTTATCCTTACAGTCCTCAGAAGAAACAAATCCTGTCAACTCCTTCATCTTGGGTGTCTGGCCACCAGAACTGTGAGGTACTAAATTTCTGTTGTTTAAGCCACTCAGTTGTAGTACTTTGTTATGGCAACCTTAGCAAATGAATATACTAGAGATGGCAAAGAAATGAGGTGGCAGGAATCTGCCACCCACCCCCAGGGCTTTAAGGAGCACAACTTCCCCACCAGCCTTGGTGCAGATATAGATAAACATATGCCTTGTTTTAGGCACTCATACTGTCCCTCTGTCATCTGCATTCAAACAAGTCCTAATGGACACTCGGGATAAAGTCCAAACTCCTTATCATGGCGTACTCTGCCCATCAAGATTTGGCCCCTGCCTTTTTTTCTGCCTTGCCCCTCCTGACCCCACATAATTCAGTCATATAGCTCTACTCCCAGAGCCCTGTCTTAACCTCTTTCCTCTGCGCATGCTTCTCCCTCTCCTGATAATATCTTTCTTACCCCTTTCTCTCTGCCTGTGTTCTTTCTTATCCTTCTTGGCTTGGCCATCTCTTAACTTCAGTTTTACATCCTCCAGAATTCCTTCCTGGACCTCACTAGGATCAGTTTCTGATCTCATGCTCTCCCTGCTTCCTGCTATCACTATGTGTATCCATTATGTTGTAGATTGTGAACTACTTTCGGAGTTCAGTGCCTGGCCCATCAAAAATACTCATTAAATCTTTGCTCGATGGGGAAGAATCACTAAGAGTTTTCCTCATCCTATCCATGGGATGATGTGTTCCAAATCTCTAAAAGACAAATTTATGTAGTTTTTTTTTTTTTTTGCAGCATAGCCCAACAATAAACTCAAGATGGCTATAAAACAAAGCATCTGCTTTTGGCCTTTTCTTTTCTTTTTATTCATGAGGAGCTTTAAAAATCTTTTTTATTATTTAAGTATAGTTGACATTCAATGTTATATTAGTTTCGGGTGCACAATATAGTGATTCAACAATTCTATACATTACACAGGGTTCATCATGATAAGTGTACTTACCATCTGTCACCACACAATGTTATTAACATTATTACAATATTAGTGACTATATTCCCTATGCTGTACTTTCCATCTCTGTGACTTATTTATTTTATAACTGGTATTGGCTTTTAGACAACACTAAAGCAGTGCGGTCTATAGAACCTCCTGTGAATTTGAAAATATTCTGTGTATCTGTGTCCAAATGGTAGCCACTAGCCACATGGTTACTTAAATTCAAATTTCCTTCTATTCAAAATGCGGTTCCTCAGTATGGTAGCTTGAATAATGGCCTCCAAGTATATCCACATCCTAATCTCCAGAACCTGTGAATTTTAACCTATATTGCAGATGTGATTAAACAAAAGATCTTGAGATGGAGAAATTACCCGGGACTACCTGAGCGGACTGTAAATGTAATTACAGGTGTCCTTATAAGAAGGAAACTGAGAGCGACTGGACGGCAGAACAGAAGAAAGCAGCGCTACAGCTAAGGATATGCTGCTGGCTTTGAAGACGGAGGAGGGAGGCATGGAATGAAGCTCTGGAAGCGGGAAAAGGCAAAGAAATGGGTTGTTCCTGGGGCATCTGGGTGGCTCAGTTGGTTAAGCATCTGCCTTCAGCTTGGGTCGTGATCACCTTGGGCTCAAGCCCCACGTTGGGCTCCCTGCTTGGCAGGAAGACTGCTTCTTTTGCTCCCCCCACTTGTGTGCTCTCTCTCTCTCTCTTTCCCCTCTCAGTCAAGTAAATAAATAAAATCTTAAATTAAAAAAAAAAAAAAGAAAGAAATAGGTTATTCCCTTGAGCCTACAAAAGAAGTGTGGGCCCGCAGACACCTTAATGTCATCCCAGTGAAACTGATTTCAAACTGTAAGACAATAAACATGTGTTGTTTTAAGCCACCAAGTTTGTGGTCATTTGTGACAGTGGTCCTAGGAACTTCATACACACAGTGGGCTGGCCGTATTCCAGGATCACACTTCTAGACACGCAGTTCTAGAATCCTCTGCTTGGGGAGCAAGTATATGTGACAGATCTCCTAGCCTCTACATCTTTCAAAATTGAGAAAAATTCTAAATATGAGCAATTTGCTACTTGTATCCAACATGAATTTATGATACAATTCTTTTGCATAGGAAAACCAAGCCGAGAAAGCTTACCTATGTTCTGCTAAAGCAGATAATCACAACGACTGTGACTCAAAGCCTTTGTCTGATATTGTGATCCCTTTCTTGCAGCTGAGACAGTTTTGAAATGGCCTCATTTACGTCATGAAAATTGATACCAAACAGAGATGCTTCCATTCAATTTATCTTCCTCTTCGGAACACCAAAAGCATTAGCAAGTCAGATACAAATTAGACCTCTCTTGGTAAGTGTCACTTGATGACAATGGTGATTTTGGTGTCTCAGTTTTGTCGGGTGTGTCCATGTGCGTTCCAGGCAGGAGCACATCAAAGGTGCGAGGGTGAAGGAGGCACATGTCTGATCCTTGCTCCCAAAGGCCCCACACCAGAGGCTTCCCAGCCCGGCGCTGCTGATGGCTGCTTCCTGTCTCTACCTGTCTGCATACGCGGGAAGCTTTTATGACAGCCAGTCGTAAGGAAAGGAAAAGAGAGCAACCTTCTTTGAAAATGGCGTGGGGAAAAAACCACTACCAGACAAACTCTATTAAGGCAATTATGAAACAACCCTGTCCCATATTCCTTCACAGTAACTCTCTACACCTAGTTGGAAAAAGCGGTTCACAGCCCACCCCTGGCAACTGTTTTTGTTTGAATTTTTTTATTGTTGTCGAATATACATAACACACGATTTGACCATTTTAACTGTTTTCAGCATCAGGAGCATTCACCATGTTGTACAAGCATCACCACCAACCGTTTCCAGAAATCTGTCCTCTTCCCAAACTGAAACTCTGTACCCATGAAATAGTAACTCCCCATTCCCTTTCCTCCTAGCCCCTGGTAACCTCTGCTCTACTTTCTGTCTCTATGAATTAGACTCTTCTAGGAACTTCATACAACTGGAATCATGCGGTGTTTGTCCTTTTGTGTCTGACTTATTTCACTCAGCGTGATGTCTTCCAGGTCCATGCGCGCTGTAGTATCTACCAGACTTTCGTTCCTTTTGCAGGCTGAATAACAGTCCATTGTGTGTATACAGCACATTTTCTTTATCCATTCACATCCATCAGTGGGCACTGGGTTGTTTCCATCTTTTCACTGCTGTGAATAATACTGCTATGAAAGTTGGTGTGCACACTGGTGTATATATATATATATATATTTTTTTTCCCCCCAGAGTCAGTGAAGCTTGTTTTATTTATTTATTTGTTTGTTTGTTTATTTATTTTAAAGATTTTATGTATTTGTCAGAGAGAGAGAGCACAAGCAGGGGGAGCGGCAGGCAGAGGGAGAGGGAGAAGCAGGCTCCCCGCCGAGCAGGGAGCCCGATGTGGGGCTCGATCCCAGGACCCTGGGATCATGACCCAAGCCGAAGGTAGATGCTTAACCAACTGAGCCACCCAGGCATCCCCACACTGGTATGTTTTATAGTAACCTACACAAACCTAATAACCAGAATTTGCACACTGGGAGAAATAGTTTTAAAGTCTCCCCCAAATTAGTGTTTATAAAACTTGCTCATACATTTGAATCACCTGGGGTTCTTTTAAAAATGCCCAATGCCCATACTGCACCCCAGACTAATTGTATCAGATTACCTGGGAATGGGACCTGGGAATCAGTATCTTTTGTAAATCTTACCAGTTGATTCCAATGTGCTTCCAAGCTTGAGAACTAGTGCCCTGAACAGTTTACTAGTAAACATGGTTTCATCTAAAGCTCATTTCCTTTCCCTACAATCTCTAAATCACACTTGGTGTTCTCTGCCTTCAAATCCAACTTAGCTGAATTAGAGTCATTTTTATATTTTTGTGATCTGTTGAACCGAAGCATTGTACTTTATAATTTAAGTTTGAATGGAAGGGAAATCTCAGATCTGCAAAACAGGCTGAGTGATCCTTTTTTAAAGGATCATTGCTTTTTCAAAGCATTTAAATGAAATTCACATTCCCTTGTCAGGCTTACAGGGCACATGATCATTCACCTCCCACCCAGCTTCAGAACCGGAACTGCCCCATCCAAACCTTTGTACCAGCTCCTTCCTCTGCCCAGAACCCTCTTCTTGGCCCCCATCTCCACAAGGCTGGGTCCTACTTGTCCTTTAGGCCTCAGCTTAAGTGTTTCTTCCTCCAAGAAATCTTATCTGGGACCTCAGTTTAAAGTGATAATAAAAACTAACATTTATAAATTGTTTTTTTTTTTATATGACAGGCATTTTCGGACACTTTACGTGCAAAACTCATACCATCTCACAAAAAACCAGTGAGATAGATTTTATTATTATTATTGCCATCTTGCAGTAAGGAAACTAAATCCCAGCAAAGGTTTGCAAAGATGCCGATATAACTGCAAGACGGTAGCTCGTCAGAGACTTCACTTAATTGCCCTGCTGCCTATAAGGTAGCCTGGCAGCTACTCACGATCACATCACTCTCTTTTATTTTTACTTTTTCAAAGTGTGATTTTTTTGTTTGTTTTTCTTCTCTTGATAGAATGTAAGCCTTATGTCTGTCTTATTCACTGTCGTGCGTCCAGGACTAAGGACAATCACTAGCACATGGTAAGTACTCAACAAATGTTTGCTGAATGAATAGATGAGTAAATAAGCAAACAACTAAGAAATTATTTCACTTGAAGAAAACAAACGGGGTTACAAAAGGACAAAAGGATCATTTTTATTTTTTATTTTTATTTTTTTTTTAAAGAGAGTGTCTGGGCACATGAGTTGGGGGGAGGGGCAGAGGGAGAAGGAGGGGGAGAATCTCAAGCAGAATACCCAGTGAGTGCGGAGCCTGACATGGCTCACTGGGGACTCTATCTCACGACCCTGAGATCATGACCTGAGCCCAAATCAAGAGTCAGATGCTTAACCAACTGAGCCACCCAGGCACCCCAAAAGGATCATTTTAAAATTCTCATTCAGGGCGCCTGGGTGGCTCAGATGGTTAAGCGTCTGCCTTCGGCTCAGGTCATGCTCCCAGGGTCCTGGGATCGAGTCCCACATCGGGCTCCTGGCTCAGCGGGGAGCCTGCTTCTCCCTCTGACCCTCTCCCTTCTTATGCTGTTTCTCTCTCGCTCGCTCTCTAAAAAAATAAATCTTAAAAAAAAATAAATAAAATTCTCATTCAAACGTTCCTACTCTTTCTTTAATGCTGTGCTCTTTAGAATGGCAATAGCACGCACTATCCTTCATTCATTCCTGGAGGGAAAGGGAAGAACTGGGTAGCAGAAGGCCATGAAGTGAGAGACAGTAGTCTTTCTTTAGCTGGGGAGCTCAGATAAGGGAAGTCTCTCAAAGGTACTATGTAAACTGAGACCTCAGTGACAAGAACTCAAGCTACGTGAAGATGGGGACAGGGTGAGCAGTGTGGGCAGCCCTCTGCTGACTGCTAGAGCAAAGATCCCAAGATAAGAACGAACTTGGAGGATTCATGCATCTGATCACACAGGGCTTATAGGCCACTTACGGAGTTTGGATTTTATTCTAATTATGAGAGGAAGCCCTTGGAGACTTGCAGCAGGGGAATTATGTGATATTGTTTATTTATTTTTTGAGTCTCCTTTGCCTAAAGCACAAAGAAAGAATTTTGGGAAGGGAGGACAAGATTAGACCCTGAGAGTGAGGAGGGTTGCAGCAATCCAGGGTAGAGGACTCCGTGGCTGGAACTGGAGTGATGCTGACCGATATTGGGATTATATGGTGGCAGTTGAAAGAATTTGCTGACAGGCTGGTGGATGGCATGTGTCGGATAGAGGGGAAGGGAGAGGAAGCAACACAGGCATACCTCTTCCTACTGTGCTGCATGGTTTACCGTGGCTTTTACCAATCGAAGGCTTGTGGCAGCTCTCTGTGGAGCATGTCTGTCAGCGCCATCTTTCCCCAACAGCATTTGCTCACCTCATGTCTTTGTGTCACATTTTGGTAATTCTCTCAATATTTCAACATTTTCATTATTATTATATTTGTTACGGTGATCTGTGGTCAGTGATTATGACTCACTGAAAGCTCACTTGATCTTAGCCAAAAGGCCGAGAAGCGATGACTCACTGAAGAAGGCTCAGATGATGGTTAGCATTTTTTGGCAAAAAAGTATTTTTAAATGAAGGCATGTACACTTTTTTAGACATAATGCTTATCACACAATTAATTAATAGACCACAGCAGAGTGTAAACATAACTTTTATTTGTACTGGGAAGCCAAAAAATTCATTTGATTTGTTTTATTACAATATTCACTTTATTGCGGTGGTCTGGAACCAAGCTCACAATATCTCCACAGTGTGCCTGGTAGTGAAAGACCATCTGACTTCTGGCTTGAGCACCTGGGTGGATGGTGTCATTATGCATGGTGAGGAAGAAAACTGGAAAAGGAATAATGTTTGGGGAAGGAATTGGGAGTTAAGTCTTGGCCATATAGAGATGCCTATGAAACATCCAGCAAGAGATGACAAATAAGTATGAATACATGAGTTTAGAGTTAAGTGGAGAAATCAGGGTATGAGATCCAGATTTGGGAATCACTGGCACACAGACACTATTTAAAGCCACAGTGCCAGGATGAGGACACTGGTGGAGGTTATTATGTAGATAGAGAGGAACAGAGGGCCTAGAACCACACCCAGACTACTCCAACACTTAGAGATGGAGCAGAGCAGGATTTGGCCAAGGGGTACCTAATGGGGCAGGAGAAAAACCAGGAGAGTATATGTATTGATTAGGGTTCTACAGAGAAACGAACCAATAGGACACACACACACACAGACACACACAGATTTATTATAGGAATTGGCTCACATGATTACAGAGCCCAGCAAGCCCCAATATCTCCCAATATCTGCAGAGTGAGTTGGCAAATTGGAGATCAAGGATAGCTGATGGTTTAGCTTCAGTCCAAGTCAAAGGCTTGAGAAAAACCAGGTGAGCTGATCATGGAGTTCCCATCTGAGGGCCAGCAGGCTTGAAACCCAGGAAGATCTGGTATTTCAGTTCAAGTCTGAAGGCAAGAAAAAAGCTGATGTCCCCATTTGAGGGCAGTTAGGCAGGAGAAATTCTTGCTCATGGAAGAGTCAGGCCTTTTGTTCTGTTCAGGCCTTCAACTGATTGGATAAGGCCCACTGATATTAGGGAGAAAAATCTACTTTACACAGTCCACTGGTTTAAATGTTAATCTCCAAAACATGCTCACAGAAAGACCCAGGATAATGTTTGACCAAATATCTGGTTACCCCATGGCCCAGTCAAGTTGACACATAAAATTAACCATTATAGTGTGATTCAGGGAGTGTTTGAAAAGAGGAAGTGGCCAACTGTTAAGAATGGCACTTGGAGATCTGTTAAGAACTTAGTAGGACCACTGACTTGGCAAGATGGAGGACATCAGTGTCCTTGATGAGAACAACCTCATTGGTGGACAGAAATGTCAATGGAGAGGGTTGAGGGGAGAAAGTGAGGTTCAGACAGTAACAGGTTCAAGGGCGCTTCATCAAGAAACAGAAAGGAGGCAAAGTGTAGGTAAACATAGCGGTAGGTTGGCGAGATGATACCTTTGGTCTAATTTCTTCTACTTCTTCATGATGTATGAGGCAAAGTCATCAAAAGGGAATGTGTATTTGTTTGGGAAGAGAGTGTAAGATTATTCTGAGGAAAGAGGAGAAGAGAAAGTATGATATAGGTGTCCAGGAAAGCAGGAACTATAGAATTGCTAGGCAATGTTAAATGTCAGTTTTGGATTTGTGATTGTGAACTTAGTTGAAACCTGGCAACTCATTTAGGCATTAGATTCTAGCAACGCCTCTGGTGCAGGTGTAAGCCAGGAGTAGGTGGATGGTTTGGGGTGGCAGGGGGTGGGGTGGGGTAGGGAAGTGGTGAGGGGAGTGGTGAGGTGAGGGGGGTGGTGGTGGTGACGGGGAGTCAGCTAGAGTTGGCACTTGGCCAGGTGAGTGTAATGGAGGGAAAGAAGGTAAGAGAAAAGAATGTTAGAAATATTGAATTTTATCATAAGTTAAGATTTGTTGATTGAGAAAATCATCCATACTTTCCTTAACAATTATTTTTATTATATGTGTTTACCCACAGTTGTTATTACTATATCCCATAATTCTTTTCTTAATGTTGAATGGGCATCCTCTTAATCTTTGATTTTTCCCAGATCTCAGGTTTGAAAGTCACATTCTACAAAATTGTTGCAAGGTAATAATGCAACTGTTCCCCCTGAAATAATCCTTTGCAGGAGTACTGACTTTTGGTTAAGATTGCTACATTTAAATACTCTATCTTCTAGAAAGCCGCAATGTAATGATCAGAATAAAAAGTATCTGTTTCCCAGTAGTCCCTCTATGTAACATTAGAATTGAGAGAGGAACTGAATTTATTTCCTTTTAAGTAATTTAAGTGGTTTTCTTGATCACTTCCATTTTGTACTTAGATTATCTAGATTCCAATGATGGATCAACTTTTAAAGAGGTATCTATATATGTATACATTTATGATATATATATAATTTATTTTATCATACATATATGATAAAATAGTTCATTGTTTCAGAAAAAAATAGATTGATGTGAAAAGTTGGGGTTTAGGAACGAATGGTCAGGGAAGAATTCTTGAGATGTCTTTGGTGCAAAAAGGTGGTTTTATTATACCACAGGGTCAGGATCCCTGGACAGAAAGAGCTGCACGGGGTTGTGAGGAGTGGCTGATTATACACTTTCAAGTTGGGAGGGGGTTAGGGATGGTGTAGGTCTCTAAGGAATTTGGGAAGCAAGGTTTCCAGGACCTTGAGAGGCTAGCTGTTGTTAGGAAAAGATCATTTAGTACTGTCTAGTAAAACCTTAGTCATGAGACTCTTCAGATGTATATCAGTGGGCCATATGCTTGGAGAATGATTGTTAAAATATATCTTGGGGGGTAGAGATAAATAAATTTCCAAAGGGACTTTTACAGGAACCTGGAAGTCAGGCTAATGTCAAGCTAAGGTTGCCTTTTACCTCTAGAAAAGTATTAACATTGAGCAGCTAAGTTCCCTGGAGATGGTCATCTGCCTGTCCCAAGTACTTATCAATGGGCTGTAAATGATGAGGAAGTTTAATTTTTTTCTATATTTCTTTTGCCTTTGTTCTTCACATCATAAATGAGTTGGGGAAATCAGTATGAACTCATTTATTTTACTATGTCTAGACATAGAAATATAGGTACCAGTAGATACATGGATTCATGTACACAGATTTCCTAGCTTTGCCCACCAAGGGTGGACACCCTCGTAGCCATGGCAATGAGCACATTATGTGCCCTGATTTTGGTCTCTAAATAACATTATCAGTAAATGGAACCATGGTTCCTTAGAAAATGACTGGTTCTAAGGCTGTGCACGAAAAATATAAGAGGAGCCTGGAGCATCTTGATGTTCCAGAAAGGAAGTCTTTTTTTTTTTTTTTTAAAGATTTTATTTATTTATTTGAGAGAGAGAATGAGATAGAGAGCATGAGAGAGGGAGGGTCAGAGAGAGAGGCAGACTCCCTGCTGAGCCGGGAGCCCGATGTGGGACTTGATCCTGGGACTCCAGGATCATGACCTGAGCCGAAGGCAGTCGCTTAACCAACTGAGCCACCCAGGCGCCCCAGAAAGGAAGTCTTAAAGAGACAACAAAGGATGGGCGTATGTCAAAAGGATGTAGGAGCCAACTTGAAAGAGCTCTCAGGGGCCAAAGCTGGGACAATTTGAGCCCGAGTAGAAATGATGGTATTGCATTACAGCCAAAGAATAATGTGGATATCCATGATTCCATACTGATAAAAATGATTGAAATAAATCTTCCATACAGTAGAATTTTTAAAGTAATAAACATAGAAGTAGAAAATCACCATTTAAAGACCATGGTAATAATTGCAACAGGCAAGATCTACTGTTGAATGCTACAATTTTGTGAGTTAAAATGAGAAACAGGACATTTGCATAATACTTCAATTTTGATGTTTTTCATTCATTATACCAAAACTTCTAAAATGGTATCAATTTGCAAACAAAACACTTAAGAACAATGTCTTTTGGAGAGCCATCTTAATCCTATTGTAGGTTAAGATGTTCAAATCACTCACCATTGTTAACAATCATTCAAAGGATTACTCTTAATTCTAAAAGAATTGATGACAATGGCCCTTGATTTGGGGCATCTTTCACTTTCAGTAAATGTTGATAAATAATTCAGTGAATTGCTAAAACACCCAGTGTGCCTTTTGAGCTGGCTAATAAATAATAAACTCCTTTCCCAACCAATGTATTGTGTTCTGTTGAATAATGACAAAGATATTTTTCCTCTAAGTTTCAAATATAAAAAATGTTTTTGTGTCCATCATTAGTAACTTGAAACTATTTTCTAGGACTTTCCATCCCCTACAAACTTTACATATGGAAGCAGAAAAGCTTCTTATCCTTTAACCCAATATTGTAGGGCTTAACATATCTCAAAACCACTCATGCTATTTGGTAAGACTTCATCCTCCCAATAGACATCTCCTAACCTTCCAACGACTGCACTCTCATTTCACTTTTCCTCATAACTTTGTTCATACTTGACATCGTGAAATTAATGGGCTCAATAAATACATTTGCATGTATGTGTGAGGTGTCTGATGCACCTGAATACTTGAAGGGAAACAAAGCAAGCCAGGACAAGAACTCCCAAATCTTTTTTTTTTTTTAAGATTTTAAAAATTTATTTATTTGACAGAGAGAGAGAGAGAGAGAGAGAGCATGCGAGCACAAGCAAGGGGGACCGGCAGGCAGAGTAAGAGGGAGAAGCAGACTCCCTCCTGAGCAGAGAGCCCATTGTGGGGCTTGATTCCAGGACCCTGGGATCATGACCTGAGCCAAAGGTAGATGCTTAACTGACTGAGCCACTCAGGCACCCCAAGAACTCCCAAACCTAATAATCAACTTTATTCAAAAGTTTTCAAATTTACACCTGACAAGAGTCAATGCAAAAGTTCAAATCTGCCAGAGATTCACACTGGCTATAGGTGAACTCCAACTTACATGGAGCTAAGCAATGCCCATGGTCAACCATGAGGGCTTGACCTGCATTCTTTCATCTTTACTGCAATCCTCTTCATTGTGATTCAACAAATACACTTGTCTTTGTGAAGCTTACATTCTAGCAGGGAACAGACAACAGGCACTCAAGAGATAATCTAGTTTGTCTTCAGCAGTCACCATGAGCACTGAATCCAAGGGCAGTGGCCATCAACCTTCTCCCAAAATGAAATTAATAAGACTAATTTTTATGGCCAAAAAAGAGGAGTAAGCAGTATTGGCCCTACCCACCCTTTACTGTTTATCTCCATTTTATAGAAGAAAATTGAGGTTATCGTGAATCTAGATTTCTTTTCCTAACATTTTCCCTCAATGGCTTTACACTTCTGCCACTCTGATTTAGCACCCTGCATCCCTCATCTACCATAGGATCCACATACCACACTCAATACTGAAAGCTGGGTGCTTACTTTAATGGCTTCTCCAGGTTCAATGTCAAGAGTTCAGCTGCATTTTGTTTAACATACACAGGAAAGCAACTGATGTAGGACTTCTGCCCAGGAGGTTTTATTATGCTCTGTGCCACTGGAGTAGTCTGTTTCTTCAATCTTTTGACAAAGTTACTATGAGCAATAATCCCACTCTAAGGAGGTACCCAGAATTACTGGATTATTTTTGCATAACTTGAAAGTACTATTTTCTCTATGTAAGTTGTCGGTTTGCTAAAATGTTCACCAGTTTGTTTATATTCAACTTTTAAAAAAGGGGGTGGGACTCTCACTGCCCATGCCCCTTAACATAATCACTTCCAGTAGCTTCTGGCTTATCTACCCTTCCTGAGTGGTCTATTTGCAAAACTGAGTAACTACACATATGTAGACATACACACATTATTTCCTCTGCTTTATGGAAGGGAGCACACCATACACCCCGTTCTGCGTCTTGTTCTTGTTTTTAGTAATGATATAATCTTTAGCAAGTTGTCTACCCTTTGAGTTTATTCACCTGCCAAATGGGGAGGATTTAATAAACGGAAGGACCTCACTATGGGCTCGGACAGTTGACGTGTTCAATACAATAAATGTTACCTTGTCCCTACAATCCTCCCGGCTGCAGGCCACGGGAGATCAGATGGCTACACCTCACACCAGACAAACTTCCCCTTCAGACTGGAGATTAAATGCACACGGATCAGGAGAGCACACCAAACCCTCTCAGCTTCAGTGGTTTATAGCTTTCGCCTGAAGGGAAGTAAAGAGAGTCTTCTTATAATAACTTAACTTCAGTTATTAAACATACAGGATCTCAGGTTCAAGTGGCTGGGGGCCTGTGAATGAACAGATTAATAGGAGGAAAGTTTATTATATATGTATGTGGGAGTAGGCTATAAAGGGCGGCTGTCAGAACAGCCAGGGATGAGGTTTTATCTACCAGCTTAATGGGATAGGGAATGGGGTATTAAGGCTTCAGTGGGAAAGTATGGAAGGAGCAGATAGGACTTAACACAGTTCTTCGGGATGTCCTGATACCAAATCAGGCTCCTCCCTTCCAAAAGACTCCCTAGGAGAGGGGTTTATGACAGCTGAATTCTCAGAAAGGCCTGCTTTAGTCATCAAAGCGAAGTTTAAAGTAGGCCTCTTTCCGCAGCTGCTGTTTGTTCAGATGTTCTCAGTTTAAAGCGGTCTTTATGCCCTCCTGGTGGGGCTAGCCCCCCGAGTTCCTTGTTTGAACCCTGACATGAAGTTTCACGAGCTAGCAGCCCAGTGTACTGCTGTGAGGAGGAGACTCGGGCTGGAACTCGGGAGGTAAGAGATCTGTGAACGGAAACACAGATCAGGACAAAGACGAATAAGCAGGGAAGAACAAATCCAAACACATGGCCCCATGGGCCACTGAACCGGTCTCTCACGCCTGAGAATAGGTCAGTCCAATTAAACCGTAATTCATTCGTTCGATGTAGATTGTTGACGTGTCCCTTCACACGGTTCAGATGAAACAGGACTTCTTCTGAGTTGTATAGAGGCAGCATTGTTTGCCCATGATTGTACATGTTCTTCCTTGTTGAGCAGCAGATAAATCCAGATGGTGATTCTGGAGTGCAGAGAGTAAACTGCTAACTCTCGATTGGCGGGTTTCCAAGGTCTACACTGCGGCAGCGAATCCTTGTTCTGTCACTTTGGAAATGTTTAGAATTGTTTCTTCTAGATGCGACATTCCCAAACCCGGAGAAAGGGTCCTTATTGAATTGGTGTTGTGATAAATGGGTGGACTGTCCATGATGTCTGGTTGGGTGCATCTATGTGGTGCTACTTGGTTTATTAAGGAGCCTGCGTTTGTGATTTGGTTAGCATTTAAAGTGGGACACCTGGTGAGGGCAGCTGCCAGGTAGCCACGTGCACATCACCCTGACCATTTAGGTGGGAATGCCTTATATACCTTATTACCACCTAAGATATAAACACCAGAGTTGTCGTCCATGGACAAGGTCAGAGTGGAACGTGTGACCCACCAGGCTGGCATCTGGTGTCCGTCATGACTTCTGTATTTGGTTATGTTGGCATCCACACATCTCCACTTACCATGTGCCTCTGTCAGCCTGTAAGAGCAAAACAGGTTGCAAAATAATCTGGTATAGAAGACCTTTGGTTTGATTTTGGCAGCTGAAGAGATGGGTGTCATTACCTAACCAGGTCATTCCAGAATTTTGGGCCACCCATATGTAGGCTCGGGTATTGGGCAGACCAACCAGGGGAAAAGCCGAGCTATTCCCGGTCCTACTTGTGTGGCCTGCAAACCAGGAATAATGTCCAGTGACTAGGCAAACATCTGCATCATAATAATCAGTCTTGGACCCATTTACAACATCTATAGAAGGTTTGAAGGTGCCCCATCTGTGGAATCAAACCGTGGTGTTTGATTACAGTATTGTTTTGGTACGTTACCTAGAAGGGTCCAGTGTCATTTTTGACTGCGAAGAGGAAAATTTCCCTCCAAAAGCTTCACCGGAGTAAATGACAGACCTTGAGCTTCTGTAGAAGTTTCCTAATGCCAAGTAGAGTGATTTTGTCCTCTTGTTTGTGGATACCGATCCCTTTTCTACATCCACTGCACAGAATGGGTCCACCAGGTATTTCCATGGGCAGGAACAAAAACTAGTTAGGTTCCTGCGCATTATATAGATGTTGATATAACCAGCAATCAGATAAATAGCTAAGGTGTCAGGGTTTGGAAGAGTGGTGGGTGTGGGTAATGGGGTTGTGGTAGAATTGTTGAAAAAGCACCAAGGGTTAGTTGAAGCAAGACACTGTTTGAAAGGGAGCCCACAGTGGAGGAACACAGGGAGGATAGTTCAGGACAAGCAACCTCCAGCCAATCTTTCTGTAAATAAAAGAGGAAGGTCTTTTAAAAAAGATCTCTAGGTCAGAGAATTTTCCAGGTCAAGGAGAAAGGCTTCAATGGAAAATAAATGAAGACAACCTTCTTGATTCAAGATTTTGGACAAAGCTGCCTACTTCATGGTGCCATCTGCTTCTGGAGCCTGAGTAGGCTCTGGAAATCCTCAATTTGAGGTCACTCATAGGGACAGCCTTCTAATTGTTATAGGGGTGATGATCTGGATCTAGCATGGGTGTGTCTTATGTGAATCCTGGAAGATTTTTATTCTGATGACAGTGTAGATGGTTAACAGTATTTCCTAAAGCCTTTCCCAGTGAGCTGATAATGCATATTTTCTTCTAAAAACCTTGATGTATACTCCATCTCCTGGTAGAAAGGTATGGCAAGGCTTGTTAGTAAGTGAAGACCATGTTTTTTTCACCTGTTGATCATATGCTCCAACAGTTCTTATATATAACTAGTCAACATATTGAATTGTTCACTCAAGGCCCCATATGCCCACCCAATCCAGGAATGGAAGGTTTAGAGATGTCAGCAGGCATGGGGTGACCAAAAACTATTTCAAAATGGGTCAGTTTCGAGTATTCTGGATCGGTTGTTCCTACCCAGTGAAGTCTGGCTCCAGAGGCTTTGTGACCTTTGTCAGCCTTCAGATGTTCTCAATTCATAGTCTTTATGTCTTTCTAGTAGGTTGTTCCTGCCTTCAGAGACAAATGCCAACACTTTCACTGAATGTACCATCAATGCTAAGGTTAAGTTTGATTTCATCACTTGTGCTCTGAGGCGTGTTAAAATATCAGGAGGGTGCTTGAACCGAAAGAAAACTTTCCTCTGGTTCAGCTGTGACTCCAGACAGGATCCAAAGAGGAGTTTTACAATCTCCTCCTTGGGTTTTATGGAGACTTATTTTACCCTTCTGTGTTAGCCTCTTAAGGCACCATGTCAACCTCAAAAGGGCACAGGAAAGGGCCTTTGGGGATTTTTACAGGGTTCTCTCTAGGATCCCTGCACGCCTCCCTCGTCAATATCCCCCGCATCTCAGCGCTTTCGGGAAAACCCACCGGAAGCAGCTGTTGTGCGGGGGGAGCCCGGGAACGTGCATTCCCTCTATCCGAAAGGCCCGCCAATTTGGGGCCCTTAGAACCGAACACGTGGGAACCCCGGTCGCCACCCGCCACGTGCTCCGGGCCTGGGTCCCCGTCTTTCACCCCAGGACGGGGACCTACCTGCGCGTAGAGCTCAGGCCGCTGCAGCCCGCACACGTCGGCGACAGACTCCCGGGTCCCCGGGTCGGGCCGGGCTGGGCTCCCGCAGCCGCAGGCGGGCCGGCCCCGAACCCGCGACAAAGCAGCCGCGGCGGCGCCCTGCGGGAGCGAAGCGCGAGGCTGTCAGGGCGCCCGGGCCTGGGCGCGGGGAGGCCTCCGGGCGGCCCCGCGCGGCGTCTGTGCCTCGCGCGGCCCCGGGACGAGCTGGGCCGCCCGCCCTCCCGGGCCTCCGAGGACTGCTCTACCCCTCCGTTCTGGCCGCCGGGAGCAGCGGAGCTCCGGGCGGGCAAAGCTCGAGGGGACGCGGGGCGAGCGCGGCCCCAGCCGGGCCCGCAGGCCGGGCGCCCTCCCCGCCACAAGGGACCGGAGAGCCAAGCCACACTCACCGCCCAAATCCGCGAGACAGAGAGGTTCACTACCCCAGAGACCCCGCCAGCTGCGCTGGGCTGCAAAGTGGGTTGGGAGGGTGGCCAATCCCCCGGAGGGAGGGCGGGGCGGGAGGAGGGGGCGGGGCGAGCAGCCAACCCTTGGGAAGGCAGGGGCGGGGCGGCGGGGAGAGCAGCCAATCGTCGGGAAGTGGGGTGGAAGGGGGCGGGGCCGGCCGTTGGCCCCCAAGGTCTCAGCTCCAAGGACTTTTGGCTCTTGCTTTGGCGGGAAGACTAGTCCAGTTGAGCAGGGCATCATTTTTGGAGCCTGAGGGACCAGGCGGGATAATGGCGTCCCTCAAGGGACCCTCTTGGATCTGCAGGCCCACGTTCCTTCCTCGGGGACTCTCTTGGCGAGGCTTTAGCTGTTACCTCTCCCCAGCTCAGCACCTGGGCCACAGCTCTGGGTCATACAGCCTCCTAAAATCCCGAGCTGTTCTTTCCCATGCCACATTTTTATTCACATTGAGTAACTTTCTAATCCTCAAATGGTTGAAACAAAGGCCTTAGTCTGGCATTCTAGTGGAGAAGAAAAATCAAGACGTAAGTAACCAATATGTCTTATGCTAAGGAGAAAAACATAAGTGTTTATTACAACTTGAAAAACTGAAGATAGCAAATAGTCATTCCTGTGAATAGTCATCCCCTCTGCCTCTAAGAAACAAAGAAACAAAACTCAACATAACTGTTAGTAGTGGGCTTTTTTTGAAATATATTTCACTGCAGAAATGACTAAATATGATAATAGGCTCTTTAAGGAGTGATGCTTGGTTGGCACCCTGCACATGGGTAGGGTCCTATTTTGGTCCATATTTGATAATGCAGAGGAGGCCAAGATGGACAAAGGCCATTGCCCTGGGGCGCACAGTTCTGGGGGAAGTCACTAGTGGGAGGAAACTTACGAAGAAAATTAAGTGTGGTGGGGATGGGATAGGGGTCTTCAAACCCTTCAGCTTCCCAGTCCTTCCCAGCCCTAAAATGGGCCTGCAGCAGTGGATTAACTACTACTCATACTGCTCCTCGCTAATGCTGGCTCACTACCCCATTTCTAGCTGTGTTTATTTCATTGATATCTCTTTTCTTCCCTCTCTTTTTAAACTGAAATTTACATTTTATTTTTCCCAAGCTATTTTAACCTAGTAAAATATGTATATTTTCATAGTGTAGTGAAGGCCAGGGGTTAGGGGAATAGTGATTATGAAATAAAGCAGAAAAAGAGAAATGCTCAGTCCTTGAGAGTCATAGCCTCCTACTGGGGTATGTTTATACGTTTATAGAATCTGTATGTATTGACAACCAAACATATGCCAAACACTGTGGTAGACCTGGAGGGATATAGATAGTGAGAAAAAAATCCCAAAACATGGACCTTGCCCTGGGGGAACCTTTAGTCTAGTGGGTAAAACAGACATGAATACAAGAATCACATCAAAAATGCAAAATTAGCACTTTAGCGTTACAATGGAAGTCAAAGACCCAGCTTTCTGATTAAGCAGAAAACTGAAGACGAGTTTAGGGGGCAAAGGAGAACACCCTGGGGTATAGTTCCATGGAGGAGGGAGTGCGTGTGCAGAGTGGGTATTCTAGGAAGGAGCTCAGTGCTTTCATGGAAATGCAGGAAGGCTGCTGTGACTTCTGCATAAAAAGCCAAGGGATGGGGAATGAAGAGAGATACAGGATAAGGCATGATATAGAGTGGGCTGCAGTGGGGGACGTGGCGGGAGATGCTGGTCACTGCCAGACCATGCTGGGCCTTGAAGACCATGTTAAACAAGCCCATAAATGATGCTTACTGATAATGTGTTACATAAACGCATGCCAATAAAATGTTGCTGTTTGCAAGGCTGGCATGTGTCAGGCCAGCATGTCAAAGATATAAAGTGCTAACCTTTACTGATCACTTACTACCTGCTCTGTGCTTACATCGCTCTGCATAGATGATCTCATTTAATCCTTTCAGCTACCCACTGGGTCCAGTAGGCATGATGAAATTGCTCATTTTGCTCCTGAGGATCCACATATTGCTAAGATTTTGTGAGAACTATTCTATTCCCAGTCCAGTAGTATAGATGGCTGGTGGACATATTAGGGTTTCTAAGTGCATTGAAACACTGTAGCAGCACTGACTCAAGTTCCACCCCAACACTTGTGCATAAATGCACAAACTTAGGGAGGGAAACTGAAATCATAGCTGCAGTGCCCAGATGGTGGACACAGGATGGCAGCACGGAATTCTCGATTTCTACAACTTTGAAGGTGCTTTTCCTTCACAGTGTTTGTGGGATTTAATTTTGAACCCTTTAAAACCCAGAATTATATTAAGGCAGCCATGTTAGAAGTTGAATGGTCAACTGCCAGCTGACCTTAAGCAACAGTGTTTGCTATCCTCTAATGGTTGATTGTATTGGATTTCAAATATTGCTTTTTCTTAAAAGAATTCTTTAAAATGATTACATGCTACCTATTATGCTTAGCATCCAGTGTATTCTATGCAATTACTGTGTAAATGATATTTGGTTGGTCGGTTAAATGAATTAGCATAAGGTATCCAGTTGAAAGCACAGCCAAAATGAACCATTTAATTATATTAAAGAAAATTGAGTGAAGAGGTAGACCTGCTTCTTCTGTAGCACAATTTTAATGAGACTGCTTGAGTTGAGTCCTGTTCTATATCAAAAATGGAACATGAATGCATTCAGGTTCTATTTCTGGCTCTACCACAGGCTTTGCTCTTATACCCAGTGCAAGATGAAACCTGTTAACTTTTTTCCATTTGCAAAATGTAGGCATTGCTTTTAGCATTTTTCACAGGAGTGGCAGAATTAATGAGCGCTGCAAATGACCTTGACCTGTTTTGTAACTGCAAATGTATTTTTATTGCCATATTTTCATGAAAAATGAAAATCTGCTAGCTTTTTCTTTTCCTGAAGAGTTGATACTAAGCTAAAACTTTCAAGTCTGGAATATGTGCTCTATCAGCTGCTCTTCAACATTTCAGTTTCCAAATTTAAACAAAACAAGAATAAGATAAATCTTGCAAGTGATAATCAAAACAGTAGAAAGGAAGTGAAAGAGTTGCCTTGTAAATGGAGGTCTATTTGTTTTTTCAAAATTGCACTCTTTATTTTCATTAAGATAGGGATTGGTCCGAGGTGGTGGAGGAGTAGGGGACCCTAGTTTCATCTGGTCCCAGGAATTTAGCTAGATAGCTATCAAATCATTCTAAACACCTGCAAACTCAACTGGAGACCTAAGAAAAGAATAGCTGCAACTCTACAAATAGACAAGCAACCTCTTTCTGCAAGGTAGGAGGTGCAGAGAAGTGAATCCCAGGTGATCTATGGGAAGATAAAGGGTGGGGGAGGGAGCGTCTGTAAGCTGGCACCAGAAAGTGATAGAGCAATGGAGCGCAAAATCAGAACTTTTAGAAGTCTGCTCTGGTGAGGGATGTCCCTGTCTGAAAGGTGTGCAGGTGGCTAAGCGGGGGTGGAATCCTAGGTGGGACGATGTGGCCTCAGGATCCTCCAGGGTGCCTGAGTGTGGCAGAGCTCCCAGACATCAGAGCAAGGAAGCCGGCGGCATTCAGTGAGACCAGGAGTGGGCTCCCAGCTCAGGGCTGCCATATACTGCAAACTGTGGGGCAGTAAGGCAACCACTCTCTGTGCAGGGGCCCAGCAAGCAGCAGAACTGGGGAGACCCCTGCTTCCTCACCTGTCAGGAGTGGCTTTGGAGACTTGAAATGGGGTTGTGTGTCTGATATACAAATGCTTGGTCACAGGCTGGGTGAGCACGGAGTGCTGATGGAGACCAGGGAGACAGGAGTGATTGACTGCTCTTCTCTGAGGGCTCACTGAGGAGTGGGGCCCCAAGCTTATGCCAGAGTTTGGGAGGCCACCATTTTCATTCTCATCCTCTAAAGCTGTGGGGAAAGCCTTCAGGGAACAAAAGCCACATAGAGCAAAGGGGAGGAGATTACTTAGCCTGGCCCCCTGGCAAGGGCGGTACAGTTCTGAACGGGCAAAGACACTTGAGAATCAGAGCAACAGGCCCCTTCCCCAGAAGATAAGCAAGAACATCTGGCCAAGACCAAATTTACTGGGTCACACAGAACTGAACAACTCCAGTGCTAGGGGGAAATTGGTATATAGAATTCATTGTTTTTTCCCCACGATTCTTTAGTTTTTTCAATTTTAATTTTTTCTCTTTCCTTTTTCAACCAATTTCTTATTTTATCAATTTTTTAAAAAATCTTTTAAATTTTTAATTTTTACACTTACATTATATCTTTTTGTTGTATTTAAATTAATTATATATATATATATTAAAATTGCACTCTTTATTTTCATCATATAAAACTTATATAAGTTTTTCTTTCTTTACAATTTTTGGATGTAGTTTCTTCTAACAAACAGACCAAAATACACCCAGGATATAGTGTATTGCTCTGTTCTGTTCACCTGTCTGATTATACTCGCTCTCTCTCTCTCTATTTATTTATTTATTTATTTATTTATTTATTTATTTATTTATTTCTGTTTTGGGCCTCTTCTGATTTGTTTAGTGTATATTTCTCCGGGGTCATTGTTGCCATTTTAGTATTTTGTTCTCTTGTTCATCTATTCTTTTCTGGACAGAATGACAAGTTGGAAAAACTCATGTCAAAAAAGAGAACAAGAGGCAGTACCAACTGCCAGGGACCTAATCAGTATGGACATAAGTAAGATGTCAGAACTAGAGTTCAGAATAATGATTAAAGATACCAGCTGGGCTTGAAAAAAGCATAGAAGACACTAGAGAATCTCTTTCTGGAGAAATAAAAGGACTAAAATCTAATCAAGTCAAAATAAAAAAGGCTATTAGTGAGATGCAATAGAAAATGGAAGCTCTAACTGCTAGGATACATGAGGCAGAAAAGAGAATCAATGATATAGAAGATCAAGTGATGGAGAATACAGAAGCTGAGAAAAAGAGAGATAAACAACTACTGGATCATGAGGGGGAGAATTCAAGAGATAAGTGATACCATAAGATGAAACAATATTAGAATAATTGGGATC